TGGTAGTGAAAGGTTCTGTCATGCTGCCTCATCTGGTTTTGTAAAAGACTCTGTGTATGTGTGCGTCTTATTTCTGAGGGCAAGATGCACATCTCGTGTTAGCAACGGGACAGCCGCCGTTGGCAGTGTGTGAGTTGTGTGCGTGTGCGTTGTGTGCATCCTTATACACACGGCGTCGCACTAGCGTTAGCTGTGGCTTTCATGGCTGTAAGGAGCAGAGCGGTTGTTCCATTGAAAATAAGATCTTTGACTGCATGCAAACAAACAGAGGGATGCAAACACGCACAAACACAAACGCACCATCGATTATTTTCAGTGTGTAGTGACAGCGGCGACGACAGTGAGGGATACGGCCTGCAAGGCCGCCACCAAAACTCAGAGGATGATTACGTTTCCAGACACAGATCTGCTCCGAGCGCGGAGGCGGAAGGGAAGCAAAGAACAAGAGATGAAAAAAACGGGGGGAAAGGAGGGACGGCAGGAATGAAGGGAGGGAGCGACGCCCTGGTGGGAGATAAAAACAAAGAGCAGAGCAGCGAAGGGGAAATAAATTGGATTTATAGCGTTCACCTTGAGGCATCGGCCGAGGCGGTCGCTGCAGGAGGCTGCAGACCCTCTGTGTACTTCCACCGCACACAAACACACTTTAAGTGTCCCCATTCTAGACGGTAAACGACCCACACCCTCCCTTCCTCCCCCTCACACACACAAACACACACACACTCACAGCTAAAATATATTTGATTTCCCTACTGAAAGAAACAAAAGCGATGGGACTCACTTTGCTGGAAGCGTCGACCACTTATTTTGCCAACACAACTGTTGAGCGCGTCGCCGGCCGTCTTTCTGCCCATCGGAGTCTTTTCTAAACAGGCGTTTCTGTGTTTTCCTTTGGTAATGAATTTCTAGGGGTCGTTAACGTTAAGCCTCGGTAACAAGCCTAACAAATAAACAAATGTTTGCTGCAACGGAGGAGTTGGGTATTTAATGTTCGTAAGGAAAAAAAAAACCCTATAAAAAGTAGTTCCTTCAGGACGGTAAAAATAATGAGCAGTGAGCGGTGTGGACGCACGGGAGCGAGGACGCAACGTTAGTGGTTATACGTTTGATTAATATATATATATTACATGTATCACTGTCTGAAAGATTGATGGATGGGTGGAAGGAGAGAGCGGGACGGGGTATCTGAGTGTCCCGCCGATTCGCTGGCTCGACCCGGCTGTTGTTGGACAGCTGTCTTTCTCCTCTCTGCGTTCCCTCCTTTTCTCTCCGCCATAAAACTATTTCTGCCTCTTTTCTTTCATTTTATTATCCTCCTCTCTCGCCCCTCCCCCGTCCCTAAACAGATTTATAACTCTTGCCCTGACCTCTCTACTCTCCTTTCTTCTTCTCGTCTTGTCAGCATTACACCCTTCTCCTCCTGCACATCCGTCCTCCCCCAAACCTGCTTTTTTTTTGTCTCTACTTAGCAGCGGCGTTATAACCCTGTCAATTAGGAAGGCTTTTCTAAATGATATAAATGTAAGGCGGTGTTTCCCGTACCATTATATCAGGGAGGGGGGGCCCGAGCTGCAACTGCGATTATGAAATACGTTGCAACATTTTGCTTTACAATAAACCATGAGCTTCCAGCTGTTCTTGATGCTTCAAACATCTGCAGTGATGTCATGTTTCAACCAATCGTCCTCGTAATAAAAGGTTGAAAATAGTTTTTCTTCCTCCAGATTGAAGGTCTAATGATTGATGGTTCCGCACAGATTGAGAAACCATTTTAAGCAGGGTTAAGAGTTTGGGCCATTTGAATGAAATTGACCGGAGTGCAACCTACACCGACATCCAAAAGTTTAACAAACTGCTTTTCTCGCACAACGCTCTCCAAAAGCCACAACCGGAATAGTCTGCATGCAAGTCTTAAACGTACCTGAACCAGAGAGACATGCATGTGTGTGAGCCACAGAGGGAGGAAGAGATGTGCGTTCAATGTCAGAACAGCAGAACGGCACAAAGTGAAATAGGCTTTAATTCAGCCAGATTGGGATATCAGACCCCGCTGTCACAGACACACACAGTGTAAGCACATTCCTTCGGATACCTTCGCATGTACACACACACACACACATACAAACGCACCCTCACACACCCTCACACACACCTGCAGACTGCAAACACATGACAACACACCTCCCGACAAGCACAAATTAGGGCTGGGAAGAAAGCGAGCATGTGCGTTTAATGTGTATCACAAAGAAAACATGTCTCTGTGTGTGTTTTACGAGTGTGTGCGTTTTACGAGTGTCTGTGTACATGTGAAGGTCACTGCACATAATTTAACAGTGGGAAAGACGCATGTTGGCGCCGAACAGGGCACATGTGTGTATCTGTGTGTAGTTGTGTTTTAGTGAATTTAGTGTGCATTGGTGTTGTATGTGTATTTTATAAACATTTTATTTCTGCATGACAGCTGCAGTGTTTTCACGGGTGCACACACACACACACACACACACACACACACGGAAACACAGACTCACAGACTCACAGATACAGATCAGGGACTCAAGGTTAGAAGAGTGTTGGAGTAAAGAAGACATACATCAGCTGGTGAAAACTATGGCACCAAGATAGATAGCCTGTGCAGACCTTGTGTGTGAGTGTGTGTGTGTGTGTGTGTGTGTGTGGGAGAGAGAAGGAAAGGAACGTAGAGGGCGAGAAAGCAAGACTGCTTTCTTTAGCTGTATTTGCTCCACGTTTGTGCATGTGAGCGACAGTATGGATGTGTGTTCATGTACTCCGTCCAGGAAACCTCTGAAACATGCCGTATCGTATATCACGTCCTACGGTAACATTAAACCCAACGCCGGCGTAAAACCGGGCGACGAGTCAGACATCAGACCCGAAAGAGTTACGGCGGCGCTGCGTGTGCAGAGACAGTTTCATATGCATTACACTGAGATATACGACACGCGGGACGCGGCCGCCTTAAACATCTCGTGTTTTACATGTGAGGGAAAGCCAGAAGCAAATGACGTATTTGCTGACCAAACCCTAATGTCTTGTGAAAAATATGAGCGGCGGCGGAACGTGCATTACTCACAGCGAGGCATCCAGCAGCTACCTGAAAAAGCTTCCGCTCAGACGGAGCAGGCCTACAAATACGCAATATCCCAAATATGTGCGAGGAAAACACCCTACTGCAGCCGGGAAAACATCTTTGAATTATGCGAATGCTGCAAGTTGTGAAAAAAACAACATTAATGAATTGGAACAATAAGCATCTGCAGGTGGTACAAATGTACTATTTCCCAGGTCAATAAAACCTTCCCTAATGTACCCTATTAGAAGTATATAAAGGTTACCAATAGTGCCTCTATAAAAATGTACTTGTGCAGACGGAGCAGCATTTAAAAGTTGTCTTCACTACTTTGTTTAGCCACTTTAAGGTTATATATCAAACATATGTATCTGGCGACATCAAAAAGCGAACACAAGAAGCACCGCCAACCTGTCTAATCGCCGCGGGGATTTCAGCACCACTGAAGACACACTAGCTCTGTGCACGACCGCTGTACGAAGAACCAAACAACTAAATGTCAAATAAATAATTTGCAATCACATAGTGAGCGCGTAAGTCACTAAAAATGTGTCACATGATGGAACTTAATGCGGCGAGGTTGTATATCTGCATAAACATTGGCGGAGTAAATATTTGGTCTCTCTCTGGACAGAAGCTGTGATCTGTGTATGGAAACACGCGGTCACGCCATAGTTCAGAGTCGGGTATTGATGTTAACCACAACAGATGTAGACACTAACACACGAGGATATTGGGACGGTGAAGCTGAATGAAACGTTCCCACTGGAGTCTGTTGAATCTAATGTGTGTGTGTGTGTGTGTGTGTGTGTTAGCCTGTTCCATAAATATTCAACTCAACGCCTATATTCTCCCAACAGGAACATCGGGAAAGTCCGACCCCAATAAATAAACCCACACGTGCACACTCACGCAATCTGATGCGCTGAGGCCTGTAATAATCACGCGGGTCGTTGCCGGGGGCGATAAAACAGCCTTTAACTTCCTCACCTGTCCTGCAAACGGACGTGCTACAGGACACACACACACACACTCTGTGTCTTTCTCAAAAAACGAAGGAATGCAACGTTGGTAGAAAAGAGCTGAGGACGGCGGCCGGGCGGGAAAGCTAAATCACAGAGCATGCCCTCATTTTCCCATCATGCCCCAGTAACAGATAGTCCCAGGCCGTGTATAAATGGCCGGGACATGCTAACACAGACATTCTCGCTGGCTTCTATTTCCGCCCAGAGCGCCGTTCCACTAAATTAGACCTCGCTGTACGGTCTCAGCGAGGATGTAAAACAGCCGAAAAATACGGGGAAAAACCTTTGGACTGCCCGACTCCTCTCGGCTGCACTCAAACTGCAAACCCATTTATTAAAATGACATTAAAAAATGACAGAGTTACAGCGGGGGCATGAGTGTGTGCGTGTGTGTCTGTGTATGTCGTCAATCACATGGGGGGGGCTCGACAGCGGTACATGGTTATTGCATTAACGCAGGAGATAAAAGCAGAAAGAGAGAGAGAGAAAGTGTGTGTGTGGGGGAGAGGGGGCTAAGACAGGAAGACGAAAGAGAGAGTTGATGAAGTGTCGGTTGAAGATCATGTCAATGTGACATGGAACACTGAGGCATCATGGGAAAGTGCTGGAGATAGCGTAAGAGTTGCTAATTTCAGGGCGAGCGTTGAAGGTCAGTCGCCGTTCGGTGGGTTGATTGATGCTCCGTGCGGTAAACACACATCTTTTTTTTGACAGCGATGAGGCTCGGACTGAGTGGTTGGTCAGGACTGAAATGCTCTCGACAACCGTTGGGTGAATTTCCGTTAAACTCAGGGGAGATATTCATCATGGCCGATCCCCTAACGTTTTCCCGCGGGATATTTTAACACGCTGACCAGAACAGAAGCGATAAAACGCGTGCGTCTTACTTCATCTCCAGGACCTCCCCCAGGTGCTTCCGCCTCTCGGCCCGCATGGCGGTCAGGTGACCTTCCTTCTCGGCCAGGGAGAGTTGAGTTGACGACAGCTTGGCTTTCATCACGTCCAGTTCCTGTTTCACCCTCTCCATGGCAACCAGCAGGTCCTCCACCTGACACGCACACACACAAGAATGTGTTGTAAGACACTTCAAAAATGTTCTCTCTCTATCTGATGTTTTTGTTTCATGTTCTCTTCAACTCTTCTATTTCTACAGATATCACCATCAATGTGTGCGTGCTGTTTCGTCCTTTGTGTGTCTATCTGTGCGTGTGCATCCCACGGCGACTGTGCCTTTGAATCCTCTCTCTGTTATTTCATGTGATGCTCGATCGCGGGACATCAAACGTGTCGTTTTCCCCTCCGCACGTTGTTACTCATTCTCTAATGGACTTTATTTATGACTCTCTCCGGGTTTATATCAGGTTGTCAGTTTAATGTCTGTGCGGTTGAAGCGATGAGGTCACTGTACGTCTCACAAGGTGGAGAAGACCTGGCCTGACACCAACACACTTTCCCTTTTCTTTCTCTCTGGTCCAGGTATAAACTCCCAGCTTCTCTGAAGTGTTGAAGTAGAGCGAAAGGAGAGCTAGAGGGGCCAACTTAAGACATTAAAACTGAGAGAGAAGGAGCATCAACAAGATGCCTTTAGTAGATGTGAATAAAAAAGGTCCTCTCGTGTTTTTTGCCGTCGTTACTTTTTTTTTTTCTTTTAGAATTGATATCAGTCAACGGCAGTAAGGTTGTCAATGCGAGAAATGCCAAGCCGTGCTGTGGCTTAACTTCACCACTAGAAAAGCCTTTGAAGGTGCTGCAGTGAGGTGGAGCTTACGGACCTTCTCTGTTGCCATCTCAACTCATGCTGTTATACATTTCACTTTCTTTTTCCATTTTGTTCAGAAAAAGAACATTGGGCAGACAAGAGATGGAAATCGAGAATTAAAAAAGAAACAAAGAGGACAAATAGTGTCATTTTCTTTTTAAAGTCATTGCAGGTAGAATATTATTCTGTTTACTGGGTACATAATTGAATAATGAATGATTCAATGAATGAATTAATGCATGAATGAATGCATGCAGGAATGAATGAGCAAACAAATAAACTGTGCACTCTCCAAAATTGCTCTACCAAATTAGTGGCTAACACGTAAAAAGTAACAGCGGCAGTAAATTATGATTTGTGTCCCATGCTGCCGTTCGTTAAAACGGCAAAAGGAAAGTAAACAAAAAATAAAACGCTGAGTAGTAAAGACAAGAAAGAATGATGAAAATGGACATTTGATGCACAGGTGAGTGAAGTTTGTGAGGATATTTTTGTTACCTTTGACCACCTAAAGCCGGCTGTGGTGAACTCATGCATTGGAATGTGTGAGAGCTGCATACAAAAAGAGCAAAGAGAGAGAAGGGAGAGGCAAAGGGAAGGAGATGTTGACAGCGAGGGAGGAGAAAAAAGAGACACAAAATGGGGGAAAGAGAGAGTGTGACAAAGAAATGAGGGGGGAGGACATAGGAAATATATGGGCAAAGTGAAAGGGTATAAAAGTAGGATGCACGTGTGTTAGAGGACAAAGAGGCAAATGGTGCATACATAAAGGTGATAAGGATGTATGAATTAAACAAACACGCAGGGAGGAAAAGCAGAGAGAGGCACAAAAAGAAAATTTGTCATAGTCCTCAAGTGACAAGACGAGATAGAGAAAGCAAAGTCGAAACAACTGCTAAGCACGAGAAAGAGAGAGATAAGCAGATAAAAGAAAGTGCAGACACAGCGCAAATGGACTGAGCAGTCAGAAACACGGGTAGCGTTAAATATGCAATTTAGACAAGACGCGGGTAGAGGAGGGAGGAGGAGAGGAAAGGAGAGACGACTAATTTAAGGGCAGTGAAAGGAGGACATAGAAGGAAAAGAGGATAGAACGGCCTTTGGCCGACTTCAGAGAAGCAGAGATTGAAGGATGAAGGGATGGAGGGATACAGGGAGGGGGGTGAGGAGTGACAAGGCCCGGCTGGAAAAGAAGGCGCGGGGGCGGAATGGGTTTCGTGTGCGCAACTCCCTCTTATAACGGCGGAAAGAGAGACGAGGGTGCGTCGGGTTCACGAATTAAAACGGTCGCGTTAATGAACTATGGAAACCTGGAGGGGCCGAGGTCGGCTTTCACTGCGTAACGCCGTCGACTCATTTCTCTGTTCTCATGCATACGAGGACACGCGCACACCTTCCTACACCGCTCACACACACACACACACACACACAGACACACACACACACAGGCGGTAGTGACTCACGTCTAGCAGAAAAGGTTCGGTTTATTTTCATGTGGTCGCGGTCGACCAATTTTGCCGGGCGAACCCTGTCCGTCGGACATTCCCTCTCACACACACACACGGCGGCATATTGAAGGTGTGTGTGTCTGTGTGTGTGCGTGTGCCAACGCTATAATAAGCAATGTGTGCGCCTCATTAAGGGAGGAAATTGTCCCTCTTCCCTGTCATCGTTTTATAAGTCATTACGTGAACGAGTAATTGCAGAGCCTCAACGCGGGAACACAAACATATTTATTCACAATCCAGCCCGTGTGCGTCGGGGAGACGCGTTTCCAGTCAGACGACCAAAGCGGCGTCCACCTGGCTCCCGCTGAATGCTAGCTGGTTGTTGCGCTGTTTAAACAGCAGTTAGCGCTTCTTCCCCGCCGCGTTTGAGCGTGCGCGCTGAGAGGATGTATATACGCGCGAGGATGTATACGCGCGTGCATGGGCAGCCCGTTCGGCGCCAAAAGGCTGGGTTACTGTTGTTGGCGTTGGGTGAGTGTCTGGCCTGCCGCCTCGCACTCGTCCACCGCACGCCGACGCTTCAACGCCTTCCTCCTCCTCTTCCTGCCGCCGTGCAGCATCACGCCCCGGCCTGGACGGCCTCCGCTCGGTCCAGTTAAAGCAGCTTTGGTCTTTTTCAAAGCATCTCAATAAACTGCACCAAATGAAATATGAAACCGATTGCTGTAAGACAATTAGGTCCCAGGCGACTTCAATAAAATAGGATGTGGTTTTCAGTGTCTCTTTTTCTCCTGCTGATGGTTGCTATTGTGTAAACACAAAGGTCTTTGTTATGTGGGATTGTAAGTTACTACTGGGTCTGCGTTTTTTGAACAGGAACTAAAAGTCCCCTCGGAGTGATTTTTTCTTTACCTTCCCGCTGAGTCTGAAGAACCACGAGGATTAGACAAATTAGTCTGGTAACGGATTAAAAAGAAACGATGGCCTCAGCCTGTTTTGATGCAGTCTTTACACAACGGTTGTTGTTCTTTCTAGTTACCGGGGGAGATAATGAAATGATGCAAGGGAGACTTTCAGAGGAGGAAGAGTCCTTCTATTGCTGCTTTAACAATAATGGAACAAATAGTGCAATCAAGAGTAATCCCAAAGACGCACCACATAACTCTGTGGTAGCAACCACGCGGCTAATTTGCAGCAACCACGAGGTTTGAGTTCGGTCGAGGTTGATCGGTCGGTCGCAGAGAGTTCCTTTAGCATGGGGAAGTACTTCCTCCCCCGGGCAGCGACCCGGATTTAGACCCTCGCTCCATCCAGTCTGAATGCAGGTTGACCGATTTCTTGTGACTCTGGATGTTCTGGGTGAGAGTGAGTTTTTCTTTTGACCTACCTAACCACACCGCATACACATGTTCCATCCCGCGTTCAAACCCGTCATTACAGCAGCATCTGATTCCCAGGGTCAGATATCCACCTCCAAAATGCTATTTCTTTTTGGTTGCATCACCGCGTCAAAAGAGAAATTCTAGCTGCCGTTTGCATCATTTTAAACATCCCATCCCGTGGCACCTTTAACGGTTCGAGATCTCTCCCGGAATTTGAAATAAACCTCGGCGCAGTTTGCACACGGAGCTGAGGGAGCACTAGTTTTGTGGGCCTCGTAACGCCTTTGCTAGGAGCGCCTAATGAACTATTGCCCTCCATCTGCGTCACTCTCAAACCCCCGTCTGCTTCTCCTTGCTCGGCTTTTCTAACATCTGTCCGTCTGGAACTCGTTCCGCTGTGGCACCCGCAAACGCTGACCGCGGTCTGAGGGTGTCGGCGGCGAAAAAAAAAAGCGCCTTTGTATGCCCTGTCCTCATGCGTCTGTCCAGAGAGGCCGGAGAGGACGGCCAACATTCAGGGGCAGTAATAACAATAGCGTCCCGCCATCTTGCCAACTGCTACAGCGGGCCGTGTTTTCTCAGGGCGGTTTTCAGCCCTGCAGCCCGCGCCCGTTCTGTTTTTCCGCCGCTTGTCAAAACCCATCGAGCCTCTGAGGAACATTTCCCAACTCCATGGTCACTGGTACCCAGGGGAGCAAAACACACACACACACACACACACACAGTCTCTCTCCTGCTGGTGTGGGGTTGAGCTCACTAAACCCTTCCCTTCTGAGCCTCGCTCAGCCCCACCGCGAGCTTTCCTACTCTATCAATAGAGATAAAACAGATTACAAATTGGTGTAGTCGGGCTTGCATCTCCATCTAAGAAATAGCTGTTTGTGAGCTCTGGCAGAAGCAGACAAAACACCATCTGTTCTTTAAATAGGGATTTATTTACCTCTCCTCTGAATGAGGAGTGACTGGGCAAACACAAACACGCACGCACACACACACACACGCACACACACACACGCCACACCTAAATGAGCTCAGTTGGCACGGGGCATATGCATTGCCGCTGCCATTAGCCACTATTGGCATAGCGATGTTTAGCTATGTCAGAAAGAGTTTCTGTGTCGCCTAAAGATGTTTGTCTTCTTCTGTGTGTGTGTGTGTGTTTTAATACATTGCTGAATGTCCCAGAAGGACACAAACGGGAAGTAAATCCTTTAGAAGTGAGGACATTTGTGTTCTAGCTGAACCAAATCGAGTCACTGATAGGAGGGGGGGGTTCAAGGAAAGGGGGGGGGGCACAGATTTATTGGTTTGGGGGGGGGGGGGGGGGGGGTCAGGACCACCCGTTGGACACGGTACCTGTTTCTGGGAGTGTGTGAGTGCCTGCTCCTCCTGGGCGAGCACCACCTCCCTCTCGGCGGTGATCTGCACGCTCTCCCGCAGCGCCTCCTCCAGCTCCTCGATGCGCTCCTCCTTCTGACGGAGGGAGTCCTGGAAGTACAACCAATGCCGTGCAGCCGTGCTGGTCAGCGAGATATCAATTGAATTACTTATGAGTCAAATGAAACCTGATGTTGTCGTAACATGAAACATTATGGTGACAGATTTTTCAGTTTTTTGACATGGCTGTTAATTCTCGCCCTAGGGTCCTTTTAATTCATTTTCATTCATGACACTAGCCAGAGAATCATTTGACTTATTCATATACAGTTGATCTGTCATCCTTTCGTTTCCCATCACAGCAGCTTTCCCTCAGATTCTGCTTAACACGTCCGAAAGATTAAGACTTTAGACACTCCGCATTCCAGTTTTTTTGTATGTTGCTCTCAGCGAACTGAAATAAGCTGCAAAAGACCCACAAATTAGACGATCCGATCTCTATCTGCCTCACAGGAAGCTCAGGAATTCTCAATCCCACACGATGCCGTTTCTAAGTAAAAATATTTTTTTTTCTCTTGTCAGGCTTCCTAGTTAAATTAGAGGTTGAATGAACAACTGATGGAGCAGCAGAGAGAGGATGAGACATTTACAACGGCCAACAACAAACCTCCAGGACATCTCCCTCACATGTGCTGTAAATCTGAATCCTGCTCCACATCCAACATTACTTGCTGTCTAACTATGCAGACTGAGATGGATCTTAATTAGATTACGTCCTCTTGTTGTATTGGATTGAATTTACGGCCTAAACTACACTCACATTTCAGATAAAGTCTTGGTTAAGCAACGCAAAACTCACTAACGACACACAAACGCAGCCGTCGGTTACGGTTGCAGCCGCTGCGGTGTGCGACGAGTTTGAGTGACTCACATGGCTGTCGGATCATCTCCCAACCACATGCATGCAGAGAAATGACAACATCCAAACTCCGTCAAGCGAAGATCGGTCGAGGCCGGAGGCCCCGCAACAGACATCCACACTCACAGCGAGAGTGGTGTCATCTGCCTCCAATCAGAGAAGCCGCTGAGGTTAACGATTACGGGAAGAGGGAGAGGGAGGAGGGAGTCAGGGTGGACAAATAGCGAAGGTAAGGGGAGAATTAGGGCAGCCGAAGTTGGACTGAAAGCGAAAAGTGAAGAAACACGAGCTCCACCAGAGTCACAATCCTTTGCCGCACACGTGGCCGTTCATCTCGGGGTCACTCGACGCCTCGGCAGACATTTGGGAGATAGTCTCACGCCGCGGGAAGCGGCGTAGTTTGGTGCATGCGCTTCCCTGCTCCCTCGCACTCTAATCACCTTCCTCCCCTTCCCTTCTCCCAACATTATTTCCTCTCCCTTCCAGCTTTTCTCCCTGTCAATCACCCTCTTAAGTCACCCCCCCGTGCACGCTCTCCCTGGGCGAGAGCTGCATTGTGTGTGTGTGTGTGTGTGTGTTTGACATTGCCTCGGGCCGCTCGCTGTCACAATCGTCACCTTGCGGTGGAGCATTGTTGTGATAGCAGAAGGACAGAGAGAAGGAGAGAAACTTTCACCCCCCCCCTCATCCCCGCCTCCCCCGCCTCTCTCCCTCCGCACCTTTATCTGCAGGGAGCTTTCGTTCAGATTGTCCTCTCTCTTCTTGGCGTCCTCCATCAGCTGGGCGTTGCGGCTCTTCTCCAGCTGCTCCATGTGCTTCAGGTTGGCCACCTTCTTCGACTGGTCCTTCATCTGCCTGCACACGCACACGCACAGCAACGTACCACGTTAAGAGTCAGTGCATGAGCTCTATGCAGTAGTTTGGAATCAGATTAGACTCAAATTATTTTGAAACCAGCAGCACCACGAACGACATATGAAAATCCGTTCGAATATACAAAAAAACTGCAATTCAAAAGAAGCAAAGACTTCAAGGAAAGGATCCGATTAGCATATATCTGCTAAACGTAACACTTCCGAAATTAGATATCCTGTTCGTGAAGAAGCATCGTTTTTAGAAGCAGTGAACACCAACCCTGACTTCAGAAATGTGCCAAAATACGGTCACATGAGTGCATCTGACATTTCATACTTGAGCAATTCCCACCAAACGTACCCAGGACGCGCCGCCTATTGTGAACGCTTCCATGCAACACGCTGCCTAATGGAATCCCAGAGGGCCAATAGAACGCAAAAAGATCAGCAAAGGAATTCAATAAAACGCTACGAATCGACAATTAGATGACATTTAAGATTTTTTCCACAGCGGGTAGTATGTCAGTCCTTCCACAGAGGGGATTACAAGGTGTCGGGGAAAGCGGAGTCTAAATCATCCTCTGGGGACTGGGGGGTTGTGGAGTGTGTGTGTGGGGGGGGGGGGAGCTGCAGGGCTGGGAGACAGAGAAAAGGTTTAATCCCGGTTTAAGCCGTCTGGAAGCCCTTGTGCCTCTGTCACAGACCTCTATCACAGCAGCTTGACTTGATCAGGACCGTTCATACCTTTCACTCACACACACACACACACACACAGATGTGGACGAACACAAGCCGACACTGGTTAAGACTTAACAAGGTCTTCTGAATTGCGGCACGGTGAAAGATAAGTCAAACGCAAAGGACGAATGTGTGAGCACACACGCTCGGGAGAGAAAACAAAAACCGCTGACACATCAGAAACTGAGCGCTCTCTATGAGAGACATTACAGGTCCGTGGGCCTCATGAATGCTTGCATTCTTTAAATGCCTCCTACGTGCAAATGTTTATGCATGTGTGCGCGATCCTGTTGGCGTGGCTTTTTACGGGCGCGTAGGTGAATCCATTTTCTTCACTTCGACCGCCGCAGCTGCCAGTAAAAGGGCGAGACCTCCGGTGATGGGAATCCACAGCCAGCTCCGTCACACCGGCAGCAGAGCATGTGCACGCATGGGAAATCATTTTTTACGAGCCGCTATCCGCACATTCCGCTTCCTGTGGTGTAAACAGGTTCCAAATCGCGTACCTGACCTCTGACCTTTGCCTGTGCACTACAACGTTCTGTTTAAAATCTGTGCATTTTTACCGTCACGGTGCGCTGATTCATTTGGGGTTTTTTCCACGGCTTTACTCCTTTGAGTGCAGTCTTCCGTCTGAAGTCACAAGAACGTCATGTCTCACTGTTTACATCTAGAGCGACATACGTATTCCACTGTCAAAACGATTTATAACTCGCCCTCTCTTTCATCTCCCCTGTCTATTCAAACCGTGAACCATCCACTAAACTAACCTGGGAATTCAATCCATCGGTATCAATGCCAGGAGAGTGGAGAAATGACATTGGCACAGGATGGTGACAGAACATCTCCGGTGGCTGCGCTTAAAGGTCCAGCGGGGTCAGATTCAAAACCATCCACAGAAACCTGGGACGGTGGAAGAGCTCACAGAATAATAACCAGCCTCCGTTGCTTTTTCCCCGAATTTTATAAGCCGACCATTTTGCATCATCGTCTCATCCAGGTTTAAGTGTTAAACAGGAAAACAAATGAAGAAAGCACAGAGTCAGACTCATTATGGGGTCTTTCATCTTCCTTCCTTCTGTTCTGATTTAATTTTACAGCATGAAAGTGGGATGGATTTGAATGATTTGGGATCAATTTGGTGCTTGACGCGCCGCGAGAGGGTGTTACAGCTCATTAGCAGGCAGGAATGTTCCTATTGGAGGATTTCCAGGAAGCTTGGACCATCGGCTTAGCTCTCGGAGGTCCCCTTCATGCTACATTTACTGCACGTATGTAAGTACATGTGCATGTGGAATAAACTTAGTTTCCAATGTTTCCTATTGACTCAAGCCCCGGCTCCCACTACCACCTCTCTTTCCTCTCTTGCTAATGCATGAACAGTCTGTATCGAGTTTGAGCACGTGCAATTTGCACGGGGAGCTTCAGACCCCAGCGAGTTGCTCCTCCCCCTTCTCTCGATGGCATTCTTTTGCCCGGCGCCGATCTTACCCACCACATATTTGTAGGTTTCATTACAATAAATTGCATGAAAAGCGGTCCTGTGTTTGCATCAGAGCAGTGCATGAGGTCAAATGTACTCTGCCCCGCTGCTTCCTCTTCCTCTCAGTCTTCTCCACACTCACTCCCTCTCCAAATGCAACTCTGGATGAAATATTTTCATCGGACCATGGACCATTTCCCCTCTCCTTTCCTCTCCGTGATTCCATCCACTCTTTTGTCACTTCCATCTCCCGAGCCTCTAGAAAAAAAGGACATCGTGGATCGAAGCTTGCTGCAGTAATCATACCTTTTTTCTTTTTTGCCAGATTTGGTGTTAATATTTTATTCATAATGGTTTACCATGTGCATATGAATATATTGTAACATGACTTTTTTTATAAAGTGCAGTAGTAGATGACTGGTAATATACCATGGTCTGCATATTATTATGCATAATAATAAGAGGCAACAACTTACCTACGACACTGTCAAGTCAAAACATTCTTATTGTGCAAGAGAAGTTCCACATTAGCATCACATATCCATCCCGAGCGTGAGTGTGTGTGTTTGTTCAAATCTATGTTTAGCGGTGGTTAAATATATCAAATGGATATATTCTACATGTATTATGCATACTTCCCCCATCCTGATCCGTCCTATCATACATTCATATCTTTGAAAAGACTTTGGGATGTTGACTCTAAAGCAAAGCTTGCATGTTTGTAATGATGCAAGAACTAAGGGGTCTGGTAGGGTTGTGGAAAAGGCGGTAGAGATCTTACTGTGAAGTTATGACATGGGCTTCAATTCTACTGTATGCCATACATCACGTGTTAGTCCAGTTCTTTCTTTCCTCTTCACCCTAATCAACCAATCATATGTGATGAGAAGTTCTATATATATTTAAAGTTGCAGTTGTGGGTGCACACATGTATAATTAAATAAACACTCCCATTACCCTGCCTGCTTAGAGAAACACAAGTTGATCGTTGAACTCGATGCCTCGCCTCAGTGGAGGCAAAGTGCCATTTGAAGCTGCTTTAATATGTAAAAAATACTTCCTTCCCTCTGAAATCTCTTTCAACAACCGCTGCTAACCGCTGGAGGAGGCGGAGTCACGGGAGAGTCCTCTTGACCCACACCAACGCTGTGAACGCAACGCTAGAACCCGGACACACACATACACAACCGTACAGTCATTGAGTGCATGACAAAAAAACAAACACACACACGCGCATAGTCAGCCACGTCAACGGTTCAAAACACGACCTGCTTTGTATTAGAGTCTCTCAGTCGGACCACACACAAATATTTGAAGCGCGCACGCAGTTCTGCGTGTAACTGCACGCAGCATAGCAACACGCGTCCAACAACGTCCTTTCCTGTGTTTGCACAAACAAACACACACATGCAAAGGTAGTGGCACGCAGTGTAAACACATGCTAACGTGAACACAAACACTAACGTATTTGTCAACGGCACTTTGAACTCCTTAAAGTGCAATTACTATATATTTATATATATATTTAATATATTTGTATATCAAATATATCAAAATTGAGTGCCTGTACACACAGACAGACACGTACATGTGTGCTATAAAAACACATAGAAATGTAGAAATATTCATTAAAATTTAAAGCAGTGAAGAATAGTGGATGGCGACTGGCAGTAAAAATGAAAAAACACACACAATCTCATAAACTTCAGTAACCCTCAGTCTCCAAAGTAAAAAAAAAAAAAAAAGAAAACTTTTTAGCCTCCCTCATTAGCATGCTGCTGATATTCAGGGACCCACATTAAGGTGGTATTAATATTACATTTGGAGTCCTGTATAAATATTTGATCAGAAATGCTCGGGGGCCTCGTGTATGTTTACTGCACAAAGTTCACCCAACATTAACATCAAGAATTTCCTTTTAACCATTCGGTATTTCCCTTGAAAATACAGGAAATATTGGTTTGGTTTACTAAGCCCATAAAAACTATAAAAGATTTAAAAAAAGGGAAAAATAGATCTAAAGCAGGATAATCTTGCCCTCTGTCGGTTCGAAAGAACAACGTACAGTACAGGGACGGCATTTCGGAGAAATAAAGAAATGAATACTTATGTTGTTGTTTGCCGAATGACTGTAGACAATCCCTGATGTAGATAGACACAGAGAGAGAGAGAGAGAGAGAGAGAGAGAGAGAGTAAGGCAACCTGTGAGGTAAATAAGGAGGTACGGCAACAACCCATGTGTTTGTGTGCAAACTTCCTCTGTGTTGATTACTGGAAACTGGCTGTGAAAACACTGCGTTACAGCAGCAGACTTAACGAAATGTCTTCTTTAATGGCCCACGTCCCCGTGATATAAATCACGTACAACAATCCGCATCTCAGAACTGACCGTACGACGAAAGGCACAGCGTTCGGATGGCGTGTAATCGTGTAAGCATGTGACAGCAGCAGCAGCCGTTGATCTTGGCCGTGTCTTTGTTTTACCTGGAGTACAGCAGAGTTCCAGCGTTACGCGCCGACACTCGCTTCTCTGGCTTCATGTTTGTCTTTCGATCTGAACTTTAGATTAAAATGCAGATGGGTGAACCGAATGAGAACTCTACCATTAATGATGTGCAAGAACCTACAATACGCCGCAAACTGCATGAAATACATTAAATGTTCTTCTGAGAGTCCTGGAAACTGGGTTTTTAACAGCTCAGCTAGAAAAATGTTTTTAGGCAGGATTTTGAGAGGCGCGACAAAAAATTACTTTTATTATTGATTCATCGGATAATTTACTCTGTTTTGACATTAAAATTTCAGGAACTTGCTCATTAAAATTTCTCTCAGCTTGAGGTGTATTTCGAGTGCTTGTTTTAGTCAAGCCCAAATATAATCACTGTACAATGATATATGAGAAAAAAACAACCATCAAAAGCTCATAATTAAGCAGCTGGAAGTGGAATTGCTTTGGCAGTTTGGCTCGAAAAATGACTAAAACAATAATTCAATTTCATAATAGTGATTGATTTCATGTGGATTTGATTCATCAACAAATCAGGTGTTGATAATACTTTCTACCGCAGAAATAACCCTCTCAAATCAAGTCACGCCACAACGTGCAATAAAACACACATTTCTTTGACAGTTAATTACTTTTTGGCAAATGTGTGGTAACGCAACACGCAAAGCATAAAATATTGCCTTTTTTACTCAAATAACAAGTGTTCTATGGTCACTTATATATTGTATCACCAGACGGTGATACGCTCATTTTGCAGCAGAAGAAAACTTCTATATCTTCAGATTCTTTTCTCTTGTGTCTATTATCTAAATACTAAACAAAACTGAAAACCTAACCGGTGTTTTTCGTTACTCCCTCAGTACAGGGAATGTGGTGTGTGTGTGTATGCAGGTATTTTAATTAGAAAACTCTCAGCATGCATCACCACTGAAGCACTGTAACCTAAAGTCTTTATTTTATGTGTGTCTGCGTGTGTAAGTCGACAAAAAAAAGTGCAACAGCCTGTGTGTGAGTGTGTCTGCTTGTTGTCACCCATTAGCTGAAAAAACCCTGCACCACCTCAATGCTTATAGAGTCACACAGGACCTCAAAGGGATTACACACACACACACACACACACACATACAAACACAAACGCACGTAGAGACGCAATGCAATTCCTTTTTAAGATACAGAAATCTCGATGTCAGACATTTGGCAGTAGATGAGGAGTAGCTCAAGATCAAAACGATCCCCCAAAAAAGACAAGAGCAGTAAAACACCAAAGAAACACAAAAAGAAGTCTTCTGTCGTCTAGCAGACGCCAAGGGAGCGCTAACTTTTTCCCTTTGTCTCTTTCCCCGTTAGAGTTAAATCACAAAACAGCAGAACAACAGCGATGAAAGAAGCTGACAAGACGGCGGGGGCTCTGGAAGCTGGAAAAGCGGGAAAGAGCAAAGAAGCAGCTGGCAGCGGGAGACCTTTACAGCACAGCAGAGCGCACGAGACGCTCAGACCACCAGATTTATGCAGGAAGCGGGAGGCAGAAGTGGTCATTATGTGGTCCGTCACAATGTGTAGGTCAGAGAAATTTCAATATGACTTTGATACGTCTGTTAGAAAATACCAAATTCAGACTTGTGGGGGTTTTGCATGCTGGAATCTCATTACGGAGTCATCTCCTCAATGCAGATAGGAATATTTTAAAGTAAATCGTGGGTTGAGTTGGTATGGTTATATACGCGGAGAGTTGGTGACGTACACGTGAAGAAATATTTCCCCATATTCAACGTATACATTGATGCTTGTCAGTTACAGTATATGTGAAGCTACAGCCGGTAGCTTAGCATTACAGCTAGCAGGGGGAAACAGCTAGCCTAGCAGCTCCTCTAAAGATCCCTAATGTACCTGTTATATCTTGTTGTATATGCCGCCATATTATTTGGCTACGAGCAGCGACTTCCTGGAGTCTCCGCTGATCGCCTGGCAACCTGATCGGACCAGAAAAGATTGGGGGAACCTTGGTTGAACATTTGAAATAGCGGCTGAACTCATTGGACAGGAACCCGATGTGGAGTGATTTCTCTTTAAAAGCAACAAAGACTGAAAAGAAACTCCGAGCAAAAGTCCACAGCTGTCCGACTCAATGACGACGATGCATTTCCCAGAACATTTGTTCCCATTTGCTGGGTTAGCCTCGAATTTGACCTTTGAGCGAGAATGCAAAGAACAAAACAACAAGAGGCGACGACGTGGCCGGGAGGGGGAGCGGAGGGGAAGTCGAGGTGTCTCAGTGAAGACGAGAGCGCGTCTCCTTGCAAGGACGAGAGGTACAAAAAAGAGGAAGGAGAGCGCGACGGCAAACGGCGGAGAAGAGAAATGGGCACTGACCTTGAGGCGAGACTGGGTGGAGCAGGAGACGGCGTCGCATTGTGGCGATAAAAAAAGCGGGAGAGAGAAGGAGGACAGGGAGAGAGAAGGAGAGAAAGGTGAGAGGGAAGACAGCGGTTGAGTGGCGGGTTCGCCAGCTTGATGACTTCTCAAAGAGGAGAGAGGTGATGGACTGACGGTGAGACAGGCGGAGGTGCATAATGAACCAGCAGACAGACGCGTAGATGAGCAAGGCAGACAGGCAGGCAGACAAGTTCATTGTTGGAATTCTTCAACCACAAAATGACTTGAATTTATGAGGAGAGGTCGGGAAGCGGCCGTGATGGATTGAAATGGGGGCTGGGAGGATTTTCTTCGTTGTACGTGACCAAAGAAAACGATATAAACTATGGAAGTTTACTCGCTTCACCTCACTCGACTTTGGTCCTCCTGTGAGTTCTTCCCTGCACTTGTGTCTGAATAAGAAATGAAATCGGAATCCCATTGTTTTTTTATTATTCATGCCATTTTTTATTTTCTCCGGGAAGACGGGGACAGTTTTAAATTGGAGCACTGCCCCATTTACTTCCATCCATCAAGGCTTCCTTTCTAGGCAATCTTATTCTCGGTTCTCGGCCCACGTTTTCTTCACCGACCTCCGGGTTGAGCAATTGACAAACACAGGGTCATTTAATCGGTGAAATATTCCTTTTTAATGCGTGCAATCCTTTTCAATGTGGTGTCGAGGGTCATGAGAGGCCCGCTGGCCTCACACGACCTCCACAAGCATTCAAGGACACGCGCAAGCAGACGACACGGCGATCACAAAACCACACAAAGCGAGCGATGGGCCAATCAAAGCAGGAGCTGAGTGTGCGCTAATCTTTTCTTCCTTGGTGGTTTTCATATGGCGGGGGGGGCGGGGGGCAGTGGATTTGTGGTCCCCAGCAACAAAGAGGCACACGGCGTGTAATCGCTAAGGTAGGAAAGTTGAAGAAAACTCACTTCCTAAGTTGGTCGAGCCCTGAGGAATTGCGCACAGACGCTCCTCGTGTGTTTGGCCGAGCTCATGGCTGGGAACGCGTTGCGCGCCAATGACGGCATGCCAAAGACAAATTGTCCATTACGGAACAATATAACACGCAATAAACTTCTCCAATTTCCCCTTGCTCAAGCCTTCTATATTGCTCTAAACCTGCATTTTTCCCTCTTTTTTTCTTCCTCCTTCACTTATCTGTGAGTCTCGTTTCCCTCTCCCCGCCATGTTGTCTCTTCTTCTTTTCCTTCCCTCCCCGTCTCCACCCGTCTCCTTGTTTTTCCTCCCACCACCACCACCACCTTCCTTTCCCCTTCTTTCATTCCCCCCGCTCTGTTTTCCACTCGTCCGTCCAAATCCTTTATTTTGGTCATCAAGGCAGATTTTCAGCTCCATTTCCCCTCAGTGTGAAGTCACTCGGTCTGCTCCAATTACCATCCTAGTTACTGAAATAAATAACCTGGTACCATTACAGCTGGATTTGAACTAAAGGGGGTTGGCGGGGGATTTTTTTACCCTTGTTTAACCCACATGTGATCTTTTCCTTCGGTAATGTTCCCTCGGCTCGCTCCTTGCCTCCGCGCCAGCAGAAGAGTTGGACACGGACCTGTTAGCTAGAGGTTTAGTTCTATAATTTAGAGCAGGTTTATGTATTTGCACACCAAATGTTGCGAGCTTGGTGCTCATGGGGTTCTAAACAGCCTGGTTTCTTTCACAGATCCGACTCTCCAAGTGCTTTTACAGTAACATACACTGACTGATCTGTGGACAGGGTTAGAGTTGGATTAAAATACTTAAAAAACACACCTTGACAGTAGGTTTTAGTAAAGACTAGAAATAAAAATCATACTAACTGATAGTGTCGTTCTCCATTGAGTAAGAAAGGATCTGAATAAAACCTTTTGAATGGGTGAACATGTGAACATGACTATTAAATTACACTATAATGTTACCCGCAAAGATAGTACTGTGTTAGCTAGTTCTGCAACCACTGGCAGACACACACACACACACACACACACACACAGTATAAACCCACCATTTTGACACGGTGAGCAAACATTGAATCTCCCTAAAACCATTAGCAACTATTAAAGTTAGTCAAGCCACAAAGTGGGAGTGGGTCATAGATCGTTTCCGAGACTAAAGAGACTAAAAAAAGAATGTGGCTGTTCAAAAATCAAAGTCATCAAAGCGCATATAAACAGACTGAGGGTCCGATTTTCGAAACCTCGGACAGGTCTGACCCTCAAAGACAAAGTCCACTCTCACTGCTGGAGATAAAGTAAACCTCAATGTGCACTTTGAATTGCAACCGTTGATGCTGAGACAAAGACACCTGACTCTGCTTGAGAGGCGGTTTCGTTTTTTTCTTACGTGGGTCTCGTCATGAACAAACACACGGGACAAACACGCAGATCCACAGAATGCAGAAGACAGAGAGACAGTCAACACGGACATGCTGGCGTGCAGACAGACAGATAATCCGATGAGACGGATCGAGGGGTGGACTAGTTTGTGAGGTACGGTTAGTGAACATGGTGCACGCGTGACGAGATGCACAGATGAGACATGTAGAAAGGTATTAAGAAAAGGACAAACTGTTCCTATTAGAATAAAGGAAATACAACAACAACAAAAGAAACTGAGTGAACCGCCCAGACTCCTAATGAAAGAAACAGATCAGGTTAAACTCTGCGAGTCGGGCATCCCCGGCTGAAAGTAAAACAAAAGTGAAGCGTGAAAACAGAGCCACTCAATGAAAGAGTTGCATCATCGACATAAAGAGCGGCTGCAGCCAAACCGTGCCCTCATTTCACCAACTTCTTAAAGCCGTTCACACTGCAGTAAAAACGAGGAAAAAAAGAAATGCACACACGTGTCTACGTGTCTACGACTGAACTTTAAGGGGACTGTGGAATTTTTTTGTGTCAAAAACAGTCCAAATGAGCCGTATTGGAGAGGCTCGGCAAACCGATGCTGCAACTCTTTGACTGTGATTATTAGTGAACGTACGCAGCTCGGTCCGATGTGGGAAAGGTTTGAAAAAAATATATATCAGAAATCTCTTGTCAAATAACACAATTTAGTATTTCATTTTAATAGGCTTTAATTAGTGGCCGTTACAAATAAATCCACTGATTAGTTTCTTTAGTTAATTACTTACGTCTATAAATGGTCACAAAGCGGAGGAAAAAAAACCTCAATCATCATTTTCGATAATATGATACATTCGGTTTTATCTGAACTCAAAGATATGATATTCATTTTATATCTAACAATACAATACATATGATGTCCGAAAATAAATCCTCTTTGGTATTTCGGGCGGAGAAATTACCAAAACGTTGACTAGGTATATCTCAGATGCTGTCAGAGATGTGTGGGAATAAACTCGGTTCTTAACTTGGTCTTGTACTGTTTAAGGGGGGATTCCCAAACAGAAAAAATTGAATCGCACATTTTTAGATTCTTTCATTTCACATGACTTTTCTACATGGGACCAGTTGCTGTCGTAGTGCTCTCACATCCTCCGACGAGCAGAGTGAGTTTGTCGTGCATCTGTCTAAATGACCGACAGGGCCACCGGCCACTCACGTTCCCAAGTAGTCCCACACCGCCCCCCCCATCGGCTGCTGAGAGGCCGCGGGGGGAGGGGCCTGTTTTTGCGATTGCTGAGAACGCCACAGATGAGGGGCAGAGGGATTTCTGTGGTTCGGGGTTTGATGTGCGCGCACACACACACACACACACACACACACACACACACACACACACACACACACACGCACACGCACACACACGCACACGCAAACATAAACGCACTCGCACAAATGCAGAATCACAGGAGTACATACATGTTTAAACATACACACGTGGATAAGATGAAATGACGGAAGAAATAAAGCCGAAATGGAAGGAGAAAAGGGGGAAAGAAGGGAGAGAAAAGGGTGAGGAAAAAGGGACTAGTGGATTAGTACTGCAGGAAAGATGACCACAGACTCCCACAGTGTGCAGCTGGAGACTGAATGGTCCAATCTAAAATGATCAATTCATCCAGACAATCCTGCTTGTTTTCTACCGATTCATTATTAAAAGGAGGAAAGAGTGAAGATGCAGAGGCCGGTTTTCTCATCGTTTCTCACCTCTCCAGTTCGTTGATCTTTTTCTCCTTGTCGTTCTTTTCGTTCTCCATCTCCCTCAGGATGTCCAGAAGCCGCTCCACCTCCACCTGGGCCTTCTCGGAATCCTCTCGGTGCCGCGTCACCTCCTCCTCCAGGCAGGAGATGCGTTCCGTGAGTTCAGTGTTGGCCTGGGAATCCGCCGCCGCACCCTGAGCCTGGGACAGAAAGCCATTATCGTAAATAAAACCGAGTTGAAAGGGATATGACCACAACATCTCTGTAAACTGTTTAACAGCATTTGGCCTTTTATTAACACATTTTTTCAAACGGGTCTTAAAGGGACCAGACACACTTTTATATACCAGACTGTTTTTGTTTTAGATCGACTCCATTCAGCCAATCAGGTAGATAGTTTGTGGATAGAGATAGTTTAACGTAGAAGGCCAAAAAAATCTCAGGATAATTTAGTGGAGCAACACCAAGCCTGGCTCGTATAAAAGCCAAATTAAGTGTAAATGTTACTATGTCATAAATGTGTCTGTTATTGAGTAAAACTCTGTCATTAATAGTTTTAAGCATGTTAGTCTGGCTCACGGATGGCGTCTTGGGCCTTGGATGGTTTAAACACACGCAACAGGCGAAGGCCCGTGATGTTGATTTATGCAGCGATTAGCAGGAGCACGGAAAGGTGAGCAAAGTAAAGAAAAAGCAAATTAAACTGGCTCTCTGCGTTCTGTTTCTCCGGAAAATGAGGAAAAGAAACTAATGAAACAAAACAAAGGCGGGAAAAAAAAGTTAGAAGCAGTGTAGAGGTTAGAACAGCTGTGTGTGTTTCCCAGAAGCAAATGTTGCTCTTGGGACAGATTGACTTTGTGCGCGCGCGCATGTGTGTGTGTGCACGGTCTTGGTCACACAACACAAAAACCCTATTAGTTTTGGAAGCTGACAACAGTTTTTACAGGTCTTTAAGCGGAGAGGAAATGCTTGGGTGTCTGACGGTTTTATAAGAAGATCTGGGAGGAGGGAAGAAAGAGAGGAAGAGTGAGAAAGACAAATAGAAAAGGAAAAAAGAAACATCACACACACAACGTCAAATGCACGATGTCAGTCAATCCAGACACACACGTACACACAGTGGCGTGTTTTCAGTCTTCTTTTCCATCAAAGGTAACGGAAAAAGACTAAGAAATCAACTCTGATGAGAGAAACCCCAGAGATACACTGACACCTTCCTCCACATTGTCTCTCTCCGTCTCACAATCACACACACACACACACACATTCAGGGTGTGGGGATGGCGCTGTCTGCTCCACTCTGTGAAAATGACTGTAAGCCTGTCAGCAAGCCCGTCTCTCACACACACACACACACACACACCATTTTATAGGCTGCTGTCGGAGAAAATACGTGATATGCACACGCACGCACGCACACACACAAACACACACACACACACACACACAGCCGGCCTTTTCTTTTGGAAAATAGACAAGGGGTTCCTCGGTTTTAAAATCCCCCGTTCGTTGGGTTTCTGTCTGAGTCTGTGTACGCATCCACCGCCGGGATTTGTGTGGTTGATGGTTGGAATCTTCATTTCTCTCGGGACATTAAAGCCGCGACCCGGACCCCTCGTTCTGCGAAGCGCGAGCTCATAAGTGACCGCTGACACCTCCGATGCCCGCAAGCCGCCTTGGCATTGTTCGCCGTGTGCGTGTGAGAATGGTGCTCGGCACCATGGTTGTTAACCGGGTGTTAACACATTTCTAACCGAGGTCGCTCTCGTCCCGTTTTAACTCGGCGGCCGTTTGCGTGCTGGTGCGGCGCCGCCGGACCTGCTGACCTTCTTGAGCTTGCTCTCTAGTTTGACGCACTCCTCTCTCTTCTGCTCCAGGCTGATCTCAAGAGTCTTCAGCCTGTTGTCCTTCTTCAGAGCGGCGGAAGCCAGAGAGGAGGCCTTCTCCTTCAGATCCAGCACGGACGTCTGAAAGGGAAGCACAACGGAGGGGGATAAGGCACGACGCGAGTGCAGCAGTGCTGGAGACTGAGCAGCTCTGTACTGTAAGGATACTTCATACACTTAATTCCACTTGGGTATTATTTTTGTATATTTACTCATGTTAAGAATACGTGCATTTATCTCAAATCCTCCCCTTTCTTTTATTCCCCAGTTCCTATGGCTGACATAACGAAACCTGAATGATCCTTTGAGGCCTTCCTGCAGTTGCGAGACTTCTTCCACCCCTTGTTCTCCAAAACCTTTTCCCATGACCTGTCGCTTTTCTCACTCTTCCAGCTCAACCCCTCCATCCGTGAAGTCTCTCTCTCGCTTTTCTTTTCTGGTCTTTTCCTCTTTTGGTAGGGCCGGTCCAACAGAAACCGACGGACCAGAAGGGGAGACACTCAGACGTGTAATTTTACCCTTGACTGACAATAGCAACTGCAGACTGCAGATCATCATGTTTGACTGGGCTTTGGTCAGAGGAACCGTGCTGCTTGCAGGGATTATATTTAGGTACATATATGGAATCAGTATACTGCTTTTGTGAGACAAACCCCACCTCTGTGTTTAGCAGTGGAGGAAGGAATACCTGTTTTTTCCATAACTTTGCTTGTGTATATCTCAAATTATATAACGGTACTGTAACAGGTTTTATGACCCCGCAATCACTCAAATTACTGGTGAGCGATGACTAAAAAATGTACAACAGATTTTTCACTGCAGCATATGTCCATTTGATTTTTGGGGGTCTATCGAGCTCATTTTTAGGCTCACACTCTTTTGGTGTTTCTACTTGAAAATGTTCACAAGCCCTATTCTTTTTTTTGTCATACTGGTGGCCTGAATAGACTTGTTTTCCCGCTCTAAATACAGTGTGTGTCGCCACATTGGACATGTTGATACTTTCACAGTATTTATACATTTATATAGCATCCAGGCTTTGAAGCAAAAAAAACATGGAAGTCTCACTTCCTACGATGTGGATTTGAATGTTTCTGACAGTAACCTAAATATGACACTGGAGGAAGCTGGTCGTTAGCATAGCTTAGCATGAAGGAAGCTGGGGAAACAGCTAGCCTTGCCATGGTCCATTGAAAGAAAGGTCGGCCTCGCTGTATCTCTAAAATTTAGTAACCTACAGTGCATCTTGTTTGTTTCATCTTTAAAAGTCTTTTTGTTTCTGACTGTAAAGTCAGAATTGTAAAGACTGTAAAAAAGATAAAATGCACCTGAAAGGACCGTTGCAGTGTTCTTCTCCACTGGTACTGACAAATGTGGAGCATTAAATGTAACAATAATCGTATTGATAAGTATAAAGGTGTGTATTTCGTCATAATGTCAATAAATGTGCTACACTTTTTGGTTGTGGTTTGACATCTGGTCCAGTTGTGGTGTTATCAAAGTGTTAATTGAAACTGCTGCAGGATGACGAAAGGAGAGCCGGTGCTTAAAGCTGCTCCGTCATCCCGTCTCTCCCTCTGCGACTGCACTCTGGTGCTTTGCATGAGGTCGAAAAGCAAAAGAGGAATCCGGGCTCGCTGTTTTCATTGGTCGTGAAGCGTATCGTTGTCAAGGAAATGTGACCGGTTTATCATTGTTGTCCTTCAGCAGGAGGACCTCAGGAGGAACCGGGGGTCTGTTCCACGGCGATAGATCAATCACAGATCCTTGGCAGGGACCTAGCGGGTGTGTTTTTTGGTGACTTGCTGCAACAGATATGCTTGAGAGTGTTCTCTGCCTTTTACCTCACGGTCAGCCAGGTCAGCCTGCAGATGGGAGACCTTCCCCCTCAACTCCTTCAGCTCCTTCTTGCTGGACTCCATCTCGTCGCCCTTTTCTCTCTCCTCCCTCTCCCGCTGCTCCTTCAGCCGCTCGATGATCCGCTCCTGGACGCCGAGACGGAGGAGGGGGATGGAGGTTAGAAGGGTAAGAGAACATAACGAGTGGATAAGGCAAGAGAGAGGTGGTCAAAATCTCCAACAGTTATTCACAGTCACTCAATATCAAGTTTCTATACTAATAACAGTGGCATTAAACTTTATGTACATGGCAGCTTGGACAGGAACTAACGGCCAACAGTGATTTCAGACACGTAATGCAATCTGGCACCAGACGAAATACTCACAACCACTAAAACACTATCGACACTCTCCAGCTATAGAACAACACAGCGGCCAGGTCAGGCGAGAGGATTAAAGTTCTCGCACACAAAAGCAGCACAAAAGGCCTCAAATGTGTGTTCCGACTAGTGTTTGTGCGTTTGTGTGTTAGTATCCCATCGCTCTATCGTCACAAGGACCGGTTTAAGGTTCTTTTAAGGGACTATTTACAGAATTATAAATGATTTACTGGTGGATTCATTGGTTTGTCAATGAATCATAGTAAATCGAAATAGTTCACTGAGGGTCCTCTCAAGTACAGATATGATTGTATATATTGATTGATTATGATTGTTTATATTCCATATTAGGATCATCTATACTGTTTTGCACGGCCAAAACTGCTGGCATCAAACACGGCATGAGTCACGTTAAAAACACTTTGCTGTGAAACATCACACAGCACAGAGTAACCGAGAAAAGGAGCGATAACGCAATGAGAGGGAGAAGGTGGGGGCGGGGGGGTGGAAACACCAAGAAAATGAAATAAAAAGGAAGAAAGGAAAGATGTCCAAAAGGCCCGAAAAACAAGGAAATTGGAGGAAGAAAGCGAGAGTGGTTTGAGTGAAGTTAGCGTCGGCGACCACCTCCGCCTGCCAACACTCACACATCTAGCTGACACCCGGGACAATTAATAGCCCTGTTTCCTGTGTGTGTGTGTGTGTGTGTGTGTGTGTGTATCGCGCATGGCAGAACGAAAACATATTCTCATCAAACGTTTTGAAGTAACAGCGTCACTAGTTCGGTTCCCACAATCAGGGTCGAGTCCTCCGTGCAGGAAAACTGGTCGTCAAGCAGGCGGTTGGGGGTTCGGTTCCCAGGCGCAGGTGTTTTTCTGGGGGGGGGGCAGATTAACGGCTGCGACGCCTGAATGTGGACACGCAGACGGGCGCGGCGTGGTTGTTGGTTGGAATCCCACTGGCTTAAAGCCCACGTTGGAGCCTTTTTGGAGCTCATTTTTAACGAGCAAACGTCCAAAGCCATTATTGGTTTATTTCCATTCGTTCCAAGTCATTTTTGTTATTAGCGTAACGTAACCTTCGCTCTGAGGTTGACCTAAGCTCGACCTGCGTTCTGTGTGTCCTCGCAAAGAGACATGTACCGGGCTTTTGTCCGTGTGTACCTTCTCAGCCAGGGCCTCCTCCAGCGTCCCCAGCGCTGTGTCCGTGTTGGAGGTGTCCGTCTGCAAAGACTTGACTCGGCCTTTCAGTCCGCCCAGCTGTTTCTCTTTGTCCCTCAGCTGATCCTGGAGGTTCTCAATCTGCGAGGTAGAGAGGAGAGAAAAACTCATCACTGGACCTGTTTTTCCAATTATTTTGGCTGCAACTGATGTTATGTTGGAAAGTGATTTCGGCACTCGAACTCGGCCAAGGCGGTGTTCGAGGCAGTTTAATAACAGCGTTCAGTTAGCCTGGATAAGAGCTATAAGCAATAAGAAGTATAGCAACATGGACGTGGACAACTCTCAAGCATACAACACTGCAGGCTAAATTAAGACAACAAATGAATCTGAATAATTATAATAAACAACAATCCAGCATATTGTATTTCCAATTAAGCTACAATAAATGAAAATATTGCTCTTGCCAATGTATCCGTTGGACTAGTAACAGAAACAAATAATAACGATTTGGAGGATTTAGTTGATGTGGCCTAATATTAAAAATGTGATCGCCATTCAATCAAACTAACAAATAACAATTCAAATATTTAGTAATTCCGAAAAATGATCTAATCATTGTTTTACTATGTTATGATCCCACCTTCCTGTTAATGTTTATTGCTTATTACAGATAGCTTAACGTCTGCTTCCCATTTGGCGATCCGCGGTAAACCTAATGGCTAAAGTGGCCATTTTCCCACCCAGTCAGTGAATATGTTTCTCTCATAATATACGAACACACATTCCCTCGGTTTCTCTCCCGGTTGCTCTCACAGAGATCTGGTGGCCGGTTCGTTTTCTGTTTAAACACACAATCAGCAGAGTGTGTGTGTGTGTGTGTGTGTGCTTGTGTGTACTGTATGTGTGTGTGTGTGTGTGTGTGTGTGTGTGTGTGAGAGATCAAAGACTAAGATAAGGATAAGGAGTCAACTTTGTGGTATTCATTATAAATGGACGGACAAAAAGGTTGAGATCTCAGGAATAACAAATTGAAATAACAAAAAATTACAAATTGAAATTAAATAACAACTTGAGGAGAACCGAGAGGGACGGAGAGCTCGTGCAAGGTGGAGGGGGAGCATCAGTGGTAGAATCACAACATTTTGCTCTCTTTCCTCCCGTGTTTCTCCCTGCCAGAGAGAGGAAATCAAGCAATTGAAAACCTGTCACAGAAAAAATAGAAAGTCCGATTGCTATGCAACCTCTGACTCCGCTGCAGGTGAGACGCACACATTTACAGCAGCACAGAGAGTGTGTGTGTGTGTGTGTGCTCATACAGTAAAACACTTCCAGCGCCTCATTAATCAACTGTTCACTTGACAGCCTGACTGACATCTCCTTCTCTCTCTCGCACACACACACACACACACACACACACACACACACACACACACACACACACACACACACACACACACACACACACACACACACACACACTTGACATTGAAAGGCAGAGCGACTCTTTGATCGCGTCTGCACTTCCTGAAACTGACAACCTCTGCATGAGAACGCGCGCACACACACACACACACACACACAGACACGGCATTTACAAACACACACTCATTGCCTGTCTTGTCCTATTTCAGTACCAAAAGTGTGTGCGTGTGATAATGTACTGGAATATGTTAACAAAACAATAACCAGCTGAAGCCTCTCTTCATCCATGTCATGACGTTCTCCGCATTGAGCCCAAAATGGAAAAAACAAAGACAAAAGCATGATGGGAGATCAGAAGAATGAAGTTCAATGCACTCGAGGTGATTTCCGCCATGGGCAACATGTGATGGTAACGGGTAAAACCGTGAGAAGTGAAAGACGGAGGAAGGGGAGGGGGGAACTGAACAGAAGAAAGAAAAGTATATCATCTTTTTGCCACATGCAAAAAGGGTAGAAATCATAAGTGCAGATTAGACAAAGCAAGCAAGCAAGCCAGCAGCATCTCCGTCTTCCTCTCAGACACCGGACTGTATTCTATTTGAAGACGGCAGAGGTCATCATTTATTGAACGGGAGGAACTCATTAGTATGCATCTGATTTCATACATACTCTGCCTCTCTCCTCCCCCTCCCTGTCCTGCTTTGTGTCTGTCTGCTTGAGTGTCTCCATCAATTATCTGCTCACAGATAGGGGGGTAGCGGGGGGACTGAGGGGGGGTATGGAAAAATGGAATGGGATAATTCCATTGTATACTGGATTCTGTGTCACTCTTCACACTTAATTTGTTAGATTCTAGCGTGTCATCACTTCATTCCCCCATCCATCCCAAAGTAGCGTCTGTGTGTCAGTATGCGTGTGTGGCTGTGCGTGCGTGTGTGTGTGTGTCGAGACACCAAAGACAGAGGGTCAGCCCTGCACATCCATCTAACTGACAGTATTACCATGGAGACACATTCACACACACACACACACACACACACACACACACACACACACACACACACACACACACACACACACACAAAAACACAACTGGCCAGAAATATGCAAAAAGTACTTTGAAACTCTTGCAGCTACTACAGCAGCCTGTGTGTGTCCCTCGGCCTGCCTTTGTGTCTCTCTGTCTGTGTGTCCCACTGCCTGTCTGTCTGTCTGTGTGTGTTTCCTTCTGTCTGTCTGTGTGTCCTTCTGTCCATTGACTGTTTGTGTGCCCCTCTGTTTGTCTGTGTGTTTGCCCCACTGCCTGTGTGTCTCTGTGTGTCCTTCTGTCTGTCTATGTGTCTTTCGGTCCTTTTGTCCCGCTGCCTGTCTGTGTGTCTCTCTGTCTGTCTGTCTGTCTGTGTGTTCCTCTGTTTTGCTGCCCATCTGTCTGCATCAGCTGCTGAACTACACACTGTCCTACAGCCCCATCTAGTGTTTGTAGTATTTTTGTACATGCAGAAAGAGAATCACATGCTTCTGCATGCACAAAATCATTTTAGAGAACAATTACAATTTTTAAAACATCTTTATTTAAATAAAAAAAACTTATTTATATTGATAAATATGTATATTTAGTCTTAGAGAGTACCTTCTTCTGCAGCACGATAACTTTACGCTCCTTGACGTCCAGCATGTCTTTAAGGTCGCTGATCTCTCCGTGCTGAGTGCTCTTCTCCTCCGTCAGCTCTGATATCTGCTGACTCTTTTTAGCCAGGAGAGACTCCTTCTCCTCCAGGCGGAGACGCAGCGCATCCACCTGCGTGGGGAAAAAGCGCATGTTGACAAAGGTGGGCTTTCCTGTGCAACAGATGCTAATGGAGGAGTAACTGTACCTCGGTCTGCAGTATGGCGGCCCTCTGCTCCTTGGCAGTGAGTGACTCCTTGAGTACGTCCACGTGTTGTTTACTGTCAGAAAACTGATTGTTCAGAGTTTCCAGTTTGGTTCTGAAACCCAGAAGCTCGCTGTCCTTACGTCCCAGATCCTGCTTGGCTTGTTCAATCTGAGTAACACACACACACAACATTAAGTAAGAGTGTGTGCTGGGGAGGATTACGTGGTTTATGATGATGCAATGTTTTAGTCCAGCGCGTTACTTTAAGGTGCAGGTTTAGGTTTTAGCTGTTACTCATGACTCCTGTTGTAGAAGACTAACTTGATGCATCATAGCGTTAGTCGTTGTGTGGTGCCACTGGACCAACTAGGGGTGCAGTGCCTTGCTCAAGGGTGCATAATGATAGACCAACAAAGAGAAGGGGCTGTGAAAGCTCGTCTTGTCCACATTCAATTATATAAAATGTGAATAAAGGGTGTTATGAGTGTTACTTTAGCTCAGGAATCTGTGAGTTCCATCAAGTATAAGCCACAAATTGGACTCATTTTCAATTTTCTCACCTGGAATCCAGAAAACGGGTCAACATACATTAAAGTCAGACCAGTTTAATATACTTATTGAGACATGCTGTGCTCCCAAACTACTTATCCATACTTTACAAGCCGGTCAGGGTCAATTCTTTCAGTTATTCCAAAATGATAAAAAGAAGAAAAAACCTGAAAAACATTTTAAAGAAACAAAAAGAGGCAACTAACGACCGTTCAAGCTCAATGAGGCGACTGACAGGGAATTTACCGTTACACAAATAAGAGAATGGACCCTTAACCAAACAGGAAAATACACCACATAAACACCACAGCAAACTAATAGAAGTCACTATGTGAGAAACCTCATGCTTGGAAACAAAGAGGAGCAGGTTAGAGTTATGCATCATGTGATAAAGTTATTGTTCGGTTCAGACTACTTAAAACAACTGTCACTGTCGCCGCCCGTATGGCCGTATGCAGGACGGGAAGCGAAGCCCTCCAAACCTGTTCATTCGACCCAAACAGCATGCAGACAATGACTGTTGTTTTGAGTTGTTGTTGCCTATTGCTGTCTGAACACACAGTACACACTATTGAGGATCTACTCAAGCGGCAGCCATCGTCAACCAGTGAACCTGAGAGGTGGAAAAAACAGAGCGGGAGATTTAGAAGCCAAGACGGAAAGGGGTGCGTCTCTTACTGCGGACACCTCCTGCTGTAACTCATTGGCCCGCTGCCTTAGCTCCTCCTTCTCAGATTGGCTGTGAGTTAGCTCCTCCTTCAGCTGCTCAACCTGGCAGGGGAGGAGGGCGTCGCCGCGGCGACAAAAAAAACATCAGCCTCCACGCTCGCAGACAGAAGCGTCCTGTCCGTAGCCTCGCATGACAAAACAACACATGCAGCAACAGCTGCTGTACGGCGCGCGTGTCACTGAGTGGAACAGGGTAGAGGTCGTGGACCATGAATCAAATGACGTATGACACGCAAGCTGGTAATTAATACGCACCTGTAAAGATGAGGGTTTTGGAATAAATGATGCTGTCGGGGAGGACACATTGTCTTGGGTGAGTCATGAAACATTTTCTATGCCTTCTTAACCAGGTCCTAAAGAAGACAACTATTGTTTCAAGCTGCTATGTCCATTGAAGATATCATAAAGTTTATTCTTACTAACAAATGATATGGATGTTGCTGACCCATGGTCTTAAATACACTGTAATACTGCCAGCATGCTAATGATGTAAATTATGTAATCATTCAGTGTATTACTATAAAAATCTAAGCATGGATGCCAACAATGATAAAAACAGAAATGGGCAATGTGATAAAAACTAGCTGTGAATTATACCTTCCACAAGAAAATCCCAGACACAGAAAAAGGCTTTGAGCTTAAACAAACATGAGAAGGAAACATTGACTGAATTCCCAAACTGTCTCGTCTCCCCACATGACGGAACTACTGGCTTGTTTTAGTGAGCGTGGCCCCCGCTGTAACGCTTCCTGTTCCTGACTCTAAAGCTGCACCCGTCAAAGTGTAGAGAAGTTGAGTTATTCCGCAGCAAGCAGAATCTTCTTTCTCTTGCATTTTTTGGGAGACAATAACCAACGGTGTGTGGGGGTGTGTGCGCGTCACCTTATTCTTCATGAACTTGGCGTGGGATCTGTAGACCTCCATCTGTTTGATCTCCTCCTCCCTCTCCTCGCTGCTCAGAGCCCCGTTGGACTTGAGCATGTTGACCTCGTCCTCCAGCTCCCTCAGGCCGCGCTCCATCGAGCTGATCTTGGCATCCTGGCGGGACATCGACAAGCTCGCGTTAATGGCAAAAAGACCCGGTGATATTCCTAGATATCAGGTAGGGACGTGCATTACTTTGGTATTTCGGACCGACGAGTAGAGCTGGACAGTAAATCAAAGAAAGTTATTATGAAAGGTAACAGTTTGATTGAGGAACTGAGGAATAGAGCATAGCAGCATATTTTGACAGAATTTACAGTATTAACAGCATTTGCAATAATTAGCTGGTTTTGGAGAAGTGGCGTAAACATAACCAATATGAAATAATTCATTGTTGTTAAGGACAAAAAAGTTGAAATGGGAAAGACTTACAATAAGATACAAATTATAACTGGCATTTTTGTAACAGAGATAATTGGGAAACGAGCATGCTTCTTATCCTGTTAAATAACTAGTGTCCACCAACAACGAGAAAATGCCAATATCACAATATATACTGTGTCCATTAGCTGATGTTTCAAACTTAAAATGGATTTTCTCAACAGAATTCATCCTGTAAAAATTCTAACTGACTTAAAGTGTGTTACCGTCACGTTATGATGCGTTACATCGGAACATAACACTAACACAATTATTAAAAATAATCGTAACCTGACAGATTCTGGATATATGAAGCTGGTACCTGACATCGATCTTAGATCATCAAAACATCTGAGAACTACTCTCCACTACAGCTGACGTTTGTGTTGTTCACCTTCATTTCGATGACCGTCTGCAAGGCCTTGGTCTTGGTCGACTCCGGCGCTGCCTCGTACCTCCTGTGCAGCTCCTGAGGGACACACACGCCCCGATGGTCAGCGGGCGACAGGCAGGGAGACACGGGGGGGCGGAGGGAGGGGGGAGAGGGCCGCGCGCCGGGAGGGAAGGCGACAGCGGCTGACGGAGGGGGGTGGCGGGAAGGCTGAATGGCCGGCGTGGGCCGCGGAGCGGGGGCCGGGAAGGTCGGGGAGTGATAGAGGGAAGGACGGAGGGAGGACGAGGCGACGACGAAAGAGGGGTACTGAGGGGAACAGGAAGAGGGGAGGAGGACGGGACGGGCGGCGTGGCGATGGGAACGGGGAGACGGCGCCGGGAAGGAGGGAGAGGGACTCAGGTGGTGATGGCGGGGAGGGCAGAAAGGAGGCGAGGGTTGAAAGCAGGGGGACACGTGGAAATAAGGGGGAATAGGGACGGGGGGAGAAACTGGAATGGAGGGAGAGACGGGGACGGAGGCGGAGGCGGGAACGAGGAGTCTCCCTTTCAAAGAGGCGCTGGCTCTCAGCCTCCTCGGGTCGATCCGCCCATCCCACATCCTTCTGAGCTCACGCCGTTTCAGCCTCAAAGGAGGACGAGGGGTCAGATGTGAGAGCCTCACGCGATGCTGGTTCAGAGGTTTAGCCAAAGCGTTGAAGCCTTCAGGTTCTAATAAAAAGTAGTGGTGATTTTAAAAATAATGCATCAAAACAGTAATCCAGTTGTAGGGCTTCAAATGATTAAAAGAAGTAGACGGCAGGGAGCAGGATTCAGTCAGATCCAGAAGCGGGCAGTAAGCTGTCACTGGATAATATCTGTCTAATTCACTGACAAAAAAAATCCTGTAAGACTTTGGTAGATTTCTACAAAATCTCTCTTCCTAAAATTCTGATAAAAAGTCCTAATTTAACTCATTTGAACTACGTGCAAGGAAATTCCCTCTGTCCGGACGATGTGAAAACTCCCCGATCAAATGACGTGAGAGCAAATGGGGAGAGTAAAAAAGAGAGGGAGCGAAGTGGTAGATACAAAAAGCCACAAAAAAGAAAGAAAGGACAGGGTGAAAGAGTATTGGGGGGGTGAAAGCAGAAGGGGGACGACGTGGCCGCGTGCGCTTCACTGCTTTTCTTTGGAGGAAACGCACCGACAAAGGCGGTGAATGCATGAGACGGGACGCACAAAAACACACACATGTGAAAGGGAGGGTGCCGTGGCTTAAGGCGCTGCATGGGCGCTATGAATGCTCATGAATGAGCAGACACACAAACACACACACACACACACAGATATTCCTGGGGAGCGTTACAGGTAAAACAAGAGATGATGCAGCCGTTGCAAAGTACGGAGGTGAAATGACCTTTTAAAGCAAAATTAAGAGCTATTGCAAAATTAAGATGGTGAATACTGAGTCTCTCACTCTTTGACTTCTGTGCATCAACTTGATCTTCACTGGCGGACATTTTTGGTCACAGTTAAAAGAAATAGCTGCAGGAAGTTGCGAGGGCTAATCTGTTAATTAGTGAAGTGAACCATTTCCAAATGAAAGTGTCAGCAGTTCGGCGGGAGGTCTGCAACACAGCTGCACACAACACACTGGGTTATTTACTTCAGTAGTTTTCACTTTAAGCCAAACTGAAATCTTCCACAGATTGCATGATCTTATTCCACTTTTACTGCTTGGGCATTAACAAAAAACTTCAAAAAGCAGAAACTCTGTCCGGCACACTGATGCAATGTGACGCAACGTCCAGTAAATGTGTTCGAGAGTTGTAATAATCTGAAGAGACTGTGTCTCCTAATTATGTTTTTAAACGTTTTTTATAGAAAGAACATCATGGTGCTTCCTAATTCTCTTTCTCAGCCTTTAGCTGCCTGTGATACATTTAATAATGCATCACTTGCTCTTGTGTGCGAGTGCATGTGTGTGTGCGCGTGTGTGTGTCTGTAAAAGCATTTCTCCCTCACAGCCGTGGTCCATGATGTATTTGGAGACGATCGTTGAAGGCTGGTCTGAGATCAGTACTTGTTTGTTGACAATGGATTATGTGAAAAAAACTATTCTATTATTTTTGTTTGATAAACATTTCATTTCCACCTATTTCCTGTCCATTACACTTTTGTATTTCATTTAAATGTTGTGTTCTACTCACTGATTAAATCTTATAATACTAATCTAATACTGTACTGTATGTAAAATAAACATATTGCATAGGTTAATGAATGCGTCCAGAAAAAGGTCTGTCAACAGTTTTTTGTGTGCTGAAATGAACAGAAAGAATAATCATATCATGTTTTATAATCGTTTCTTATAAAGAACATCTCTCCACTAGAGGGAGCTGTTGGATAAAACAACATGTTGAGAATAAAACCAGCTGTGAGAAATTAATCAAAGTAGAAAAACTGTACATTCCTTTGTTTGTTTGTGAGCTGATGTTTCTGTATTGTATAATAGCCAAATCATCAGCCAAGATAGGGAGGATACGACAGGGTTTGACTAACACCCACCCACATCTGGCTGCACACAAACACACACAAGACACACACCCACACTGGGCCGGTCACACACACGCACAGACCTCTCTGAGCTGTAGCATCTCCTTGTCTCTCTGCTCCATCAGCCCCTCCAGTTGGTGGATGGTCATCTCAGCATCGGCCAGCCGCCTGGTACGTTCGTGGTCCTCCTCGGTTGCCCGTGACGACAGGCCTTTGCTCTGCAACATTTCCAGTAACTTCTTTATGGATTCGTCCCTGTTGGAGAACGTGACAGATTCAAACGCCACACGTCACACGTCGGCGGCCTCCAACGGCGACAAGCACTGACGCGATGGGCGTTATCACACTTCACCTGGCGGTTAGCGTGTGCTTCTGCGTGTCTATCCTCAGCTCCATTTCTTCCACAGTCTTCCTCAGGAGGAAGAGTTCTTTCACCTGGCGCTCGTACTCGCCGTGGAGGCGCAGGAAGTTCTCCTCCGTCATGTCCTGAGGGGCGAAGGGGTGGTTACCGAGGTGGACGGACTCGGTGTAGTCGGACTGGAAGAGCTGGTTGAGGTCCCGCTGGATTCTGAGCTCGTCTTGTAAGGCCTGGATGGAGCACTGAAAGTGCTGGAGGAAGAGAAAGAAGACATCCTTAAACTTTATTGTACCAGGAGCTGAGATTCTGGTCAGGCCGTGTTCAGAAGGTCACCGTCAGCTGACCAAACATGTCAGTGGTTAGTAGAGCTTTCATATCATTTGGCAGAATTCAAAGCAGTTTTTAAATCACTGTGAAGACGAAGTGGAAGCCTGAGTTGAGGTATTGGAAACGCGAGTGGTGCAAACCTGGGAAGCCTAAAAGAGAATGACGGATGAGCGGGGAGGCGAGGAAAAGCTGTTCTTGGATATCAAAGACGAGGGGGAAGAGAAGAAGAGATGGTGATTACAAATAGACTTCAAAGCACCTGCTTTGTCGTGTCATGCTCTTTATATTCTACATATTATATTTCCATTGGGGCGGATGTACAGAGTATAGCAATAAAACATCTTATTGGATTACTTTGTTTGTTTGTCTGCTGGCTCATACAACGGCTCCTCGCACACTCGTGGTGATGGCACAAACAGACGGAGAGACAGTCCCTCTCCCTGGTTTAATTCCCTTTGTCTCCATGACAACTAAAATTCCTCCCTCAAACATGCAAACACTAACCCACCCGTATGGTGAAAATACTCAAAGACATTTAATTAAATTGAGTTGAAATTGAAGAATTATAACTTTAAATAGTGCATGGATACAAAGTTGATGTATTAGCAAAGCAAGGAGAAGTTTTATTCAATGGTTTGGTGACAATTCTTTTTTAAGTTAAAATGTCCGTGAAGCGCTTTGAACTGACATCTCTTTTCCTTCTACCAAGAAAAGAATTCAATAATAGAGGGGAGGGGGTTATATAAGTGGTTTAACAATATGAATCATTCATATCATCCTCATAGTTATGAATATAAACAAACATTGAAAAACAAAAAATATGTGTGCCAAAAGGATGAGAGAGAAACACACACACAGAAAATGAATGTGTGCACACACACACACACACACACACACACACACACAGTGTTAAAGTCAAGCGAATGCAGTGCAAACACACAACTTCAGAGAACACAGGGGCGAAAGGAGGAAAAGAGGGAGTGTGATATCAAACAGGAAGTAGGAAACAAAAACAGCGAAGGAGATAAGGACATAAGGACAAGGCGGCGAAAACATGAGCGCAGGAGGAGAGAGAAGGGAGGCAGGAGGGAGGGAGGGGGGGGGGGTCAGAACACAAGTTGTGTTTTCCTCTCAGTTTTCTGCTGAATTGTCTTCTTGGCTTCTTCACCTTTGACCTTGTAAGACACTTCACGATGACACAGAGGACTGAGGGGGGAGGGGGCGCCACTCAAAACTCTGACGGACATGAAGCACACGCGTGCATCCAGACACATACACATGTGAGATGGTTCACATGATACATGTGGACACGGCGACGGCACGCAACACAAACAACGTTCAGAAATATTAGATCAAAAATAACGTAGTGATTTTTTTCCCGTTTTGTTCGCAAGCTGCACTACAGCTTATATGTATATGTATATAAAATTATATTTAAATGAATGTGGACTGTGTAGTAACGTGACAAACGACAGGACGGTAGAGGGACGGACACATTCTACAAGCTGATGCAAACCAGTGGGAGATATTATGGGGGATCCCAGTGGAGCCCGACGAAACATCCATCCATCCATCCATCCATTGTCAAACCGCTTATCCTGCACACAGGGTCGCGTGGAGTCCATCCCAGCCAACTTCAGGCGATAGACAGGGTACACCCTGGATTGGTCGCCAGCCAATCGCAGGGCTACACAGAGACATACAACCATTCACACTCACATTCACACATCTACGGGCAATTTAAAGTCCCCAATTAACCTGATCCCCAGAGCATGTCTTTGGACTGTGGGAGGAAGCCGGAGAACCCGGAGAGAACCCACGCAGACACGGGGAGAACATGCAGACTCCACACAGAAAGGCCACTGGGCCGAATAGAACCCAGGACCTTCTTGCTGTGAGGCAACAGTGCGAACCACCACGCCACCGTGCCGCCCCCCGACGAAACAAATCGCCTGAATTTGATATTTTCTTTGTCGGCACATTTGCAAACCCTGTGGGCGTGTCAGCTGTATGCGCGTTGCTGAAAAGCAGATTTCTCACTGAGAGGTATGATCCGTCTCAATGTCTTCTTACTGCGCGAGGACGCCTCTGATGACGTAATGACAGCAAAGGTGTGGTTGTAATTGGGGATAAAAGATACAATATATCAAAGGAGGAACATTGTTTAAAAAAAAGAAAAAAACATGAGCCTTCTACATTTTTCTCCAACAAAACACAGAAAAGAGAAAATGCAAATATGGTGCAAATAATTTCTGCCCCCCCCTCAGGTCACTGCTTATCCGTCAATCACTATTAACCATCCCTACGTTATTATTGTTTACGTGATTATTCTGCGCTCAGCGGTTGAGTCACGTCGTGTACACACCCCCTTGCCCCACACACACACACACACACACACACACACACACACACACACACACACACACACACAGAGCACAACAATGCCCACAGGCACACGTGACGCGGAGGCAGCGGTCGTAATGACCGTGAGTTTCGCCCACTCGCTCTTCAGACAACGGGCAGATCAACGCGCTCCCTCTCTCTTGTTTCTCTCTCTCCTCTCTCAGGACAAAGCCGGAGGATGAAGAACACAACTGAGGGGAGGAAATCAATGAAAAATGAGAGGAATGAGCGGACGGGTCGCAGGACGGTCCCCAGTTTCCTACACTGACGGAAGGAAACAGGACCGGATCGCGTTGTACAAACGAAGACGAGAATAAGTGTGTATGAGGGAGATGACAGGAGCGAGAGGAGGAAGGAGGGAACAGCCAGGAGGAGAGAGAAAGTCTCACTCAGATCAGTCACTCGCAACATCGGGGTCAGGACTGCACAAGAGTGGGTTCAAAGAAACACTGCCTCCGTCAAGACATTAGCTCATTACAGATGTCAAGCTATTGAAGCACATATACATAGATATATTAAAGTGTAGATATATTATCTATATATCTATATATGAGCGAGAAATAGACATAGATAGATATAGAAATAGATAGATATATTTTAGACTTTAGAATAGAAATAAAAGCAGCAGAACTGTGAGTGACTGCACTGTAATTCTGTTCATTCCTCACCAACTCTTCCCAAACCGACTCCTTATAAGGAAAGACATGGCAACCACAGATTTTCAGACACACACACGCGAACACACACTGAGGGAAGGAGGGAGGGAGAAAGTGACGAGGAAACTCTCACAATCACAGCCTTGTAGGAAGAGAAGGAGAACCGGGCCCCCTCTCTTTCCTTCAGTTTCAAATCTCTCCGTCCCTATTTCTTCCCACTGGGAAATGAACACTTTGTAAAAAAATAAAAGGAGGAAGTGCCCCCCCCCACCTTCTGTCCATCTGCTCTTTTACCGTCCCACCCTCCCTCCCCCGCTATCGTGCCCTTTATTTACCTTATTCCCTCGTTCTCTCCATCCCTCTGCTCCTCCTCCTCACCCATCCCGACTAAACAAGCACACAGGTTTGAGGACCATCTGTTACTGCTGAGCGTTCATGTGTGAGAAACACACAAACACACACTAGAATGCAGAGATTTTTTTAGTTAAAGAGGACATTTTATACTCGGGGACGGTATGCATGGACAAACACACACACACAACGACACACGCACACAGACACACAACAAGGAAGGAATAATGAGTCATAGGTTTGTGAGCAGAGAGCGGACAGACGGCAGGCAACAGACGAAGAAGAGGAAGGAGGACGAGGCACGAAGAGAGAGAGAGAGTGAGAGTGGGAAAGGGGGAGAGAGAAAGAGAGAGAGAGAGTGAGAACATTGTATCACGTATCAAAATCAGGCTGGAAAAAAAAAAAATTCCAAACTTTGCTGAGGCTTTTCCTGAATCATATACTCTGACTCCAACATATGTACTCAGACACACTCACATCTGCCAAGTCCATCTTCAGTGGCTCCACTAGTGACTGTGGACCGGCCAGCATTTACAGAGAAAGCCTCCAAACATTTGATTAAAGCTGCTGAGTCCGAACAACCCGCCATTGTACCCGACATCTAACCAAAAAGATGGCTTCCGAAAATACATTTGTCTCTCTCGCTCTCTCTCTCTCTCTTTCTCACTCTCTCCTTGTGGACAGAAAAGCCTCCTCTCTTTAGGGGGGAAAGCTGAATCCTTTAAAACTAGATAGAAAAATGGGATGAGAAATGGGAACGTGGTATTGATAAGGGCCAAAAAAACAACAGTCAAAGCGATTCTGCTGGCGTACTTCTGCAGCTCATGAGCGTGACGCAGAGGAATTCACAGTGTTTGCAGAGGCCTTTTGTGTGTGTGTGTGTGTGTGTTGTGCGTGTGTTTGCCTCACTCTCCGTAACTCCTTTCCCTTCCTACACCCCATCTTTTGACCCAAAACATCTTGGCCAAACAACTTTTCCATCCAAATTTTTAAAAAGAAAAGTTACATTTGGAGGGAACCTCATTACCAAGAAGACTTTCTAGTTTCAACTAGTTGGACTCTTTCTTTTTATTTGTCCTTTCCTCACTCTCCGTCTCTCCGTCCTCATCCCTGACCGCTTTCTTCAAGCCCATCCATCACTTCTATCCTGTTTGGAAGTGTAGTTTATTTGCTCTTTCATGTGCTCTTAAGAAAATGAGGAAAAACATTTCTCTGGCCTGGATTTGAATTGAACTGGTCCCAGATGCTCGAGGCATTTCCACGGAAGACATCCGAAAGTCCTGGTTTACTGCCGCGTTCATGGAACGGGAAGCACACCGGAGTGCCAGTCAATGTCTCCTCTGCTCCGTCCCTCCGCGACAAAAAAGAAAAGAAAGGGGCCCGGAGAAAAATAGAGGACGGCAAATAACTAAGGACAGGAGAGAAGAGGCCATCGCTCCTTCTCTCTACGGTCCTCCTGAACCTAACGAACCGAGAACGATGTCATACTGTGAATTACCAACGAGGAAGAGAAGCCACAAACATGCACCTTTGTCCCAGCACCTTGAGGCTGAATTATTAAAACAATGCAGCGGTAAAAGTGCAACAACCACCGGCTGCTGCGCTTCTTCTAGACTCCTCAGACACACACACGCACAACTTCTTACACAGCACCGCTCACACCCCCATTAAACACGCCTGATAAAACCCACCCAATGCTTGCACGTCTGGCTCCATGTCGCGTGCTGTTTGCGCGCACACGCAAATACAAAAACACCATTATAAACATGCAGGCAACCGAACGATATGTGCCTGCGGAAAGACGCACAAACCCGTCCAAACAGCCCAATTGTCCTGACACACACACGCAAGCGAGCCTGCCGGCGTGCACGCAAGGGCACAGATTCTCCCTCTTATGCACCGCCTGTCTCATGCGCACGCACACACATGCACACACCGGTTATGGCGTCAGATGGCTCGCTGGGAGTACAGTAGGTGATGGATGGAGTCCAGCAGCCTCAGAAAAGGACAGACAGAGAGCTCATTGTTCAGCTGGTACGACTCGGTGCCCGGAAGACAGGATGTTCATAAACAACTTCTTTCTCAGAGAAGCACATTAATCAAGGTGTCTCAGGGTGCATACTGTATTGTATTGTACTACATCCTATTGTGGTCATTTGGTTGCCTTCTGCTGTCGGCTAAATGCGAGCCGACCACCCTTTAGCAAAAGGTGTGCGTCCTTGTGCGAGACGACGGAGAGAAACAGAGAAGACGAGAGGGGCAGGACAAAAAAGAAAGTCGTGCTTTCCTTTCGCATTCCAGACATTCCTTCACCCCCCCCCCCCCCCCCCCCCCGTGCCCCTCTTTCTTTTCCACACGCAACGTTGTACCTTCCTGCTGAGATCAATGAGGTGCAACAAATTAGCTGAAAACACACACACACATACACGCACACACAAGTGACACCAAAGCAAAGCAGCGGCGGCTGCACGGAGCAGGCACCCGTATTGGCATCGATTGATTGGATGATTGGAGCGGCGCGACAGAGAAGGAGCCGGTGAGACTGGGAGTTTTCTGCAGTGGAAGGCTTTGAGCGAAATAGTTGTTGACAGAAGAAAAACTGTTTGGTAATTAACATTAAATTAATTCAAAGCTTCGTGCACTTTCATCAACGACGGTATATATTCTAATCCCCGAACCACGTTTGGCAATAGTGTTTGATAAATCAGCCTGTGCTATACTGGTTGATTCATTAGCTTCATTCATCTTTGAAAAATCAAGTCATTAACAAGTCATCAGTGCTGCAGATTATTAGAGCATAATTTATTGGCGGACCAGTACATACATGATGTTTGGAATGTCGGTAATTCTGGATGTGAATCCACGTTGACAACGCGGCAAAACTATGGAGAGTGAAGGAGTTAAGCAGAGGGAGTGAAGACGGAAGGAGAGGAGGAACAGAACGAGGCGGGCGGAAGCGAGGTGAAGTTAGTGGGCCGAGGCGTCAAGAAGTGAGCGAGGACGGAGGCTGAAAATGAGGTGTGCTTTTCCTCTGCACGTGTGTGTGTGGATCCCAGAATTCGTGGGAGGTGGCCTAATTCGAATTTCTTAACACAGAGATGATGGCGAAGACAGAGACCAGAGGGAAGGCAGGGGGGAGGGAGGGAGCTGACTCACTGTGTGATGACAGAAATTGAAGAAGGGAAGAGGAGAGAGAAAGAAGGAGAAAGAGAGAGGAGATGAGCATGGGGACCAGAGACGAGAGACTGAAGAGAAAGTGGCGGGATAATGAGATCACCTTGAGTTAAAAGGGGGGAAAAAGGGAGTGAAAGTGGGAGGGATCAAGTGAGAGAGAGAGAGCACACATTTACCAACATAGGAAATGTCTCAACATAACAGCACACAGGCACAGACTTAAATAGGAGTGTATGTGTTTGTGTGGGTGTAAATGTGAAAGATGCTTTTAGTGGCAGCAGGCCAAATATGAGGGGTCGATCAAACGTTTCATCTGTTCCTTTGTTCTCCCCGACTCGGCTTCCTTTGAATAAGCACGCACACACAACTCACACTCTCAACCTCTGAGATTTAGGGACGCACAAACACAAGGACACACGGGTATACTGCACACACACACACACACACACACACACACACACACACACACACACACACACAAGTGTTTTTCTTAGAGGAGTGATTTAATACCCGGTGATGTAATGTCACAACCTGAGTGCCTTTCCCAAACACAATTACTTTAGCGGAGAGTTTGTATCGGGAGTCTCGGGAGCAAAATCAAAGCCCCGAATAATTCCTCCCCCCTTTCTCTCTAATGCCCAAAATGCAGCGGGTGACGAGGCCTCTCCGGTCCGGTTCTGAGGACGACGGCGCGTGAAATGAGGCAGTACGGGTGCAAATCATGTCCTGTATAATATCGCAACCTTCCTGCCAGACTCGCTGTGTCTCCGTCTCACTCCAGATGGCTTCTGCACCAGCAGACAGCTGGGAGCCCCCGACCAGGTGCCCCCCCAGCCCCCCCCTCACCCCACCACGCTTCATCCGTTTAGCCTTCGTCAAGGCCGCCTGGCGTCCCCCGGGGGAAAAGACCCACCAGAACGCTCTGTGACATGATCGCTTTTGTGCCAGGAACACGTCACACACACGTAGATGCACACACACACACGGAGGGGCGCTTCATTCCGTACCTGTGTTTCCTCCTGCACCACTCGGTACTGTTCCTTCCACACGGACATCTTTGTGGCTTCGTCCTTCCTCAGCGCTCTCTCTTTCTTCAGCTCTGGACTCCAGAACGTCTTGATAGAGTTCATCGAGGAGCTCAACTTGGACTCTTTGGCCTCCAGCTGAAAGAACCCAGCAAAGGTTGTTTGTTAGCTTAGACTTTTTTATTGTATTTATCATGAATGGATGTGTTATTTAGAGGTGTGTGTGTGTCCTTACTTCTCTGCGTAGTAGTTCGTTCTCTCTCAGCACTTCTCTTAACTGCGTCTGCAGGTCTGACATCGCTCCGTCTCTCACCTGACAACACAGCAACAAAAGTAAACTATTTTAGACAATAGCAACATCATTTCATTTATTTTGTTTGCTTTCCAGGACGTTTTGTCTATTTTGCAGCTGTCATAGCAGATCCTAGATCAGCAAAACCAAGTGAAATACGCCCCCCATGAAAGACACTGCTGGTGCTACAAAAATCAAAATAATCAAAAGTCAAAATTCCGGTCTCACATTTTGCTTGTGAAGCCCCTTTGTCACTATTGGTTCAAACTTAAAATGTGGAGGCTGATATTTATTTTCATGTAGCACAGACCTAACAATTCAATATTAATGAAAAATGCTCCCCTCGCAGATGTTTAATTCATCTTGAAGAATTTAAAATATCGTGGATGAATTTTTAAATCTCTGCCTGCGTTTTGAAAAAGACAATTACAGATAACATATCTTTAGATTAATAGCATGCTCCCAATTCATGTGACATGTAAAAGTCAGCAAAGGAAGTGAGTCAGAAGGAGAGCTTCGTTATTTGTTCAAATCAGAATTAGGTGGAGGCAGGAGGTAGGGAGGAGGAATGAAGGAGGAGAAAAGAGCTCTCGGGTTATGACTAATGGTGCGGGGGGAGTAGGAGGGCAGACCGTAGTTTATTTAAACGTTCTGTAAGAACACCCACACAGCTCTTGTATTATTTAATTGAGCCGTGACTTAAGAAGCAAATAGTGACCCTCCAAAAGCTAAGCTCTGCTAAAAGAGGACTTGAGGGCCACATCCTGCGGGAGGTTTACTCTGTAACAAAAAAGATATCCTTCTAAGTGCAATAGATTTCATCTTTGAATGTTCTTTGGGTCTCAAAGGTGAGACAAACATGGTCTGCACCCCGAATCAATGCAACTCGTCGGCCGATTCTAAAGTTCAGGAGCAAGGACTCCTTACAGTCCTGTGGCCTGCCACGAGGTTGCCAGGCAACCGGCAGAGATTTGGGAAAGCCACTGCTGCAGTCGGGAAAGAAATGAATTAACCCAGCACACGTCACGTCGGTGCCTCACCTGTCTCATGGAATGAGGCACGGTCGCCACCTGTTGAATCTGGTTCTGCAGCTCCGACCCGAAGGCTATTGCGTCACTGTGCATCGCCCCGCCGCCCCCTCCGCTGTTTATGTTGGGACTGCTCCCCATGACGGCCGCCCTGACCCCGTAAGGGACCCGGGTCCCGGCCCTGCCCAGGGTCATGGTGCCCTTGGGCCCGGAGGGGTTCATCCCGCCGCCCAGGCTCCCGATGCCGACGGGGTCGTCGGCCGCGTCGCCGAAGTACATGGGGCCGCCCGTGGCGTAGGCGGCGTTCAGGGACTGGATGTTCTCCATGGAGAGGGTCTTGCAGGAGCCGGTGAGCCCGCCGGCGGAGCTGCTGCTGCTGTTGCGCCTGTGGCCTAGGCGCGGGGAGCGCGGTTAGCTTGGTAGGCGCGGGTAGCCCCGGGGCTCCCGGACCCGGACCCGTTGCCGTTGGATCCGACGACATCGAGCTTGGAGACGGAGCGCGAGCTGCCGTACATAGCGGGAGCACGCGGGAGCGCTTGTGTCCTGGGGAGGGAGATAGAGGAGCGCCGGCCCAAAAGAAGAAATCAGGCAATCGATAAATACATTCTCAGTGATTAAGAAAATAAATGCACAACAAATGTCACGGGGATGTCTTTAAATAAACCAAATGATACTTCAGATGAGGGCCTTCCGTGACCCGGTAGTGGCATCCTTGGTGATTAAGGCCTTTCCAAAAGAAAAAAGCTCACTGGAATTAATGTGCTTTGTCGGAAAGCGGGAATCGATGGGACTTCCTTTTGGATGAAGTAAATCCAAGAGGCTCGGGGTGAAGGGATCTCCTAAAAAGAAAGGGAGACAGAGACAAAGACAGAGTCTTAGTGATCAGGTTGCAGAAAAGGCTTCTGCACTTCAGGCACAAAAAGAAACATGCTGGGTTGTTTTTAAAGCAGGTTCTGGTTTTGGTTTCAACCCCGGTTGGTTTCATCCCTGCTCAATGTCACCGGTGCACCGCGTCCTACCATAATGCCGTTGATATTTTAAGTTTGCAGGCGTCATCCTCTGGGGAACGTGAAAGTGTTAATCTCTTGTGCAGATATAGGGATTTCACTCAATAAGACCAACTTTAGACCTGCTTGTGTAACGCGAAAATCAAAGGTCAAGAGATTGTCGAAATCTGACTTCGTCAATAACGCTCATCAAAGAAAAACCTTCATTATCCGACTCTTCTACGGGCTCAAGCGTCAGCTGACGGTCATGTGATCACGCAACCTCGTTTTGTCTCTCCACCTCTAATCGCGTCGTCATCTTAGCGACCTGCAGCTGTGATAACAGATCAGCTGATCTAACGTTCATAAAAAATTCATAATTATTACTTCGTCTCCCTTGAGGAATTACATGTACTGAAATGCAACGACCCTTTTTCTATTCATCAAGTCAATTAAATCTGTAATAAAATTCTACTCACCACTAATAATGAGTCTAGAAAAACAGATGTCCGTTGTATTGCTGTAATCCCATAACTCACACTGGATGAACATTTTAAGGGGCTAAATTATCAACCAGATGGATAGTCGATGGCAAAATGTGAACCGCTGCATTTCAAATAAAGCAAACACAGCATAGTGGTGTTGGACTAAACTAACTAAAACCACTAGGAAAATTTAAAAAAAACTATCCCTTATATGCAATATAAAAAGTATTTCCAAAGGTATAAATCTGTAACTTTTACACCGTTGACAAAAAATGTGAACACAATTCCTGAGCAACAGCTCTGACATGTTGCTGATAAATATCTCAGGAGCTACTGAGAATTCAGGGTTGTCTGTGGCAAATGCTGGTTTCCCCGGGACCCTGAAGTACCCACCACATGCTCAGCACACATTCATTTGCAAGCATCTCAATGGTGGAGAATTTGGAAAGTTGCCATGTTTTAAATATGCATCCTTGGCCACTGTATGAAATAAAGCATGTTTGCTTTTTTAAATGGATGCACAGCAGTCATTTGGGTAACCCTGGAGACAGTGATGTCATCCACAGGTCAGTGGACACGGGACCCGTGGGACACACCATCTGATCCACGCTCTCCCCTTACAGGAACAACCTAAAGTGAGCCAAATCGCTTTAAAACTAGTCAGCAAACGCAAGAATGAAAACCTCCATAGCTTTATCTGTGTGAACAGTCTTCAGTGTTCATTCATGGTGGGTTTGGTGAGATAGAATTAGCCTTGTTTTAACATTTAGACATTCAAACTAGTGCTGTACTCATTTCTTCTTTTAGAATGTTGTTCCCTCTACATGTTGCCTCTTGCTAATTGCTACCTACAAAACGTTTTGTTTCTAGAATGATCAACTGTGCCCCCCCGTTCATCGTCCCCTTTTTAAACTGACTGCACAGCTCCTCTGGGTCCCGACCCGGACCTTTAACAGCAGTGTGTGCTGCTGAAAACAGATCTTTGGCCAGGGAGATGTTACTGACAACCACTCAGTTATACACACACACACACACACACACACACACACATGTATATAGGCACCATCTGCTGCTCCCCTTCGGCCAAAAGCACACACCTGGAAAGAAACAGGCCAGGACCCTGCCGCGAGCGTGCACGCCCACACACACATGTATCTATGGTCCATGTATTTATATATATATATATATATATATAGTCCTACGGAGCACAGCCATGCACATGTGCAGATCTACACACATGCAAATGGGAATTTGCCAATATCAGACTAATGAGACAGAGAGTAGGTGTGTGTGTGTGTGCGTGTGTGTGTGTGTGTGTGTGTTCAGGGCTTTCTTTCTCCCCTCTGGACCTGCTGACCTGCACATGATTTGTATTCTCATGTTCCAATTCTCTCTACATTACAAACATGCACGGTACGTCTGAGCCTTCATTTAGTCATTTAGTGCGCACGGTCTCAGCATCCGCTTATTAATTTTGGTGTCGGTGGTTGGAGGGTTGACAGCTGGGCTCAAAGGCGCCTTCGCTCGGCTGTAGGAAAAGAAACCATCACTTCCCCGGCTAATAATCCACAAACTGGTCAGAGGGCTGCCACTATCACGATTTAACTATGACATTATATTTTACGGGACGATAAATGCACATCTGTCCACTTCTGGAACTGCTTATCTTATGTTTGGGATCGCAGGGAGCTGGATCGCTTCCCAGCATGCATTGGGCAAGACTAGCGCACAAATCACAAATCTATCACACGGCTAACACACAGTTCTTTTTATATTTATTGGCTTGAGGGCGCCATGGAAACTGCAACACGCACACAGTGCTGCAGTTCAAGTCAAAGGGTCACATGAATAAACCACCACTGTGTCTCAAAGACTTGTTTTGCTGGTGCTCTGGGTGAAAAGAATCAACCTAAAGCATAACAACCACCCCACAAGAAGCACACACACACGCGCGCGCGCTTGTGACGCAGTTGGCATGGTGAGATGGAGAAAACATAAGCGTATGACGGTGCGATACCCATCTGTCAACAGGCTTAGCGTCCCTCCAGCCCTCTCACCCAAATGTGAAAAAGTGACGCGGTGCTGCCGTAACAAACATCTGTTACGCGGCGCTCGCAGAGGTTCACGTCTGACCCGGGAGAAACAGTCGCATTAGGACAAGTACTCAGACATTTTGCAGAGAGTTCGGACTCATCCCACAGTCGCCACTTCCCAAGCTGCAGTAGAAAGCCCTGCAGGTTTGGCTCGCAATGTTATTTCATGTGCTCTCGTGCACAAGATGTGCTGGTTAATTGGGACCATATTAGGAGCTGCAACGGATGTTTATTAACATTATGGGTAAATCTACCGGTTCTATTAATTATTCTTTTCATTTAAAAACAGCATCCACGCCAAACAGTTGAGATTCAAATAAATATTTACATATTGGAAGTAAAATTTTTGTTATTTTTTGCTTTTGAAAACTTTTTGTGACTTACAATCTGACAATCTAATTGATTATCAATATCTATACCAAAAGTGTTGTCAGCAAATATCTGACTGGGGGCATCCATGGTTGCAGCAGTACCTCCTTTTTTATCACATGCAGTACTGTGTACATAAACAATAAAACCGACCCTGAAACAGGCCCAGCAGTGAACTCAGGAACCCAAACACGCCTCTCTGTCTACAGGAAACATCGGCGCGCACACACACACACACACACACACACACACACACACACACACAACGCCCTGCATTTCATCCCTCCCCACACCTCCCCGCCCTCCCCTGTCCCGCCACTCACACCCTCTCTGCATGCCTCGTCTTCCCTTTTCCGAAAACTCCTCACATGTTTTTTTTTAGGCCTCACAAAAGTCCCGGAACACCAACAAAAGTACCCGCGGTGCAGCGCCGATCCTCGGGCGAAGAGGCGACTCCAGACTCGACACTGAAGCCTTTTAGGTTAATAAGGCTGACTCGTTAGCGGACGCATGCCTCTCAGCACATCCATTTATTTATCGTTGCTCTTTGCCCCCCCCCCTCCTCGTCTCTGCGATGCTTTCACTCCCTCTCTCTCTTTCTCCATCGGCATTCCTGAAGGTGTTCAGCATGCTCTATTTATGTGACGAGCACACATCCATCTGTCACGCCGCACAATGCACACGCACACCACTCAGACCTATACTTAGCCGGGAGACGGATTCTATAAAGTTTGTGTGTGTGTGTGTGTGTGTTTGGGGGGTGACTCAGAACAAATACATTATACCCCCCCTTAACGTTATTATTCACCGTGACTCTCGCTTTCTGTCGGGCTCGTTGTGATGTGATCGAGGTAACACACGCCTCGCTGGGGGAGTGGGAGGGGGCTCGGGGGGAGGCGGGGGGGGGGCTCTGCACCTAATCTGTCTGAAGGTGGAAGGGAACAATGTTAGCTTTTTTTAAATCTCAGCAGCTGCTTTATCGTGACGGTACTAACATCAGCTCTCTGAGACGTGTCCGGGGGGGGGGGGGGCGGATAATCTCCTGTTAGGGGACAGTATTTCCTTCTATTAGCATCAAGGAATTACATAGATGGGACGTGTATTTTATTCGAAACCAGTATCTCTGACGAGAATCTCCGTGTTTTAGCAAAAACAACCGAGTGTGTATATAACATCTAAAATAAATACGCAAGTAGGCGTGAGAAAATAATAATTAGCTGACACAGAAAACAAGACTAGGGCAGGAAACAAATCTGCAAGCATTTGAATTACATCACAGGAATCGGAAGGCGAACAGAATACTCAAAGGACTCATGCGGCTGCTCGAGATGCATTCCTAGGAATCATTTAGCGCCGATGCGTGATCCAGTGGTTTTAAGGAAGGTGTCATTACAGCGGTTTGACCTTCGTCCCGCGTGCAGACACACATATTTTGTCTCCACATCAAGGCGGGATATCGATGAATGAATGAAACACGAAACCCAACTCGATTCCAATAGTTAAACATCATTGTCACTCGTAAAACTCAAGAGAGAAAAATCGATCCTGCGTGAGTGATATGAGAATGAGAGAGTCCTTCTTCCAATAGCCGAGTGACCGATGACACCCGGGAGAAGATGTCAGGCTCAAGATGTCTGGGCAAGATAAAGATTTTTTTCGCTCACCAGAGTGAGAGTGACCGCGCTACATGTAACTCCACTCTGTGCCACTAGTCCTTTCAGCGATAAGACACATAATATGCTTGAGGCGCGACTCCGATAAGGGTCTGATAGCCATCTGCTCCAGTCTATTGTGTGCCACAGGAAATTAATCCGAGACGCAGGCCGGGCAAACAGAACGCGCACACAATCACGCACACACACACACACACACACACACACCGTGACTCACGAGGAAGCACGCACATGCTGCCGCACAAAACACGTACATCCACGAAAGCACACTTATCTGATCTGGGCTGCTGCCTGCAGGTGCGAATGCGGCCAACGTGCCGCTGAGGCTCCACAACTAACAGGAAGGCAGAGACGCACAAAACTAATTCTCGAGCGCATGAGGCAGTTAATGAAAGAGAGGAGGCAAACACTCCCCGGGCTCATCCCGTGAGAAAAATAAAAAAAGAGTGTGCTGTCTTGCTGGGTTAAATAAGGATGAAGAGAGTTGCGAGGATGACCCAAGCACCGCCCCCCCGCACCCCCCCAAACAAGGCCATTAGAGATTATGCATTCAAAGTCAAAGTGAGTTCTGGGAGGTGGCGTGAAGGAGCCACAGGCCTACCGTCCTCGTCAGGTTAAGTTCCTCGTGTTGTTGTAAAGGGATGAGCCCTTTAGGAAGAAGAAGAAAAGAAAGATGAAGATGATGTGGAGCGTGGAGACACAGGGGGTCCTTCGGGCTCAGCACAAGCAAGAGTTCAGAACCGCGGGGGCCAGGCGAGGGCTAAACTCAGGGGGAAAAAATAATAATTAAAGCAAACTCATGTTGCAATAGAGGAGCGAGGACATTTATGAAAAAAATGTGTCATGTGTTTACAGCAAAATACGAAGTGGAAGGAAGCCGCTGAGTTCACTCACCCGGTGATCCCGGAGGAGGGGCGGTGAGTGAACTCACGGAGGATATCACGGCGCCCCCCCCCCCCCCCCCTCCAGCGCGATCACATCAGTTCCGTGTTTTACTGGATTCAATCTGTTTTTGTTTCTTTTTACAAAGATAAGCGTCGTTATCCGAGTGGTCTGCTGACGGTCCCGTGTAACCATGGCAGCCTTAAAGCAAACAACAACACCCTTTTTGGAGAAGTTCACCATGTTTTATTCCTCCCGACGAGTTCAGAACAAATCAACCGGCCTGGAGAACTTAAATAATGATGAAACATCACGACATAATTAAAAATGGGAACTTACACGTTGAATAGCACGTTGAATAATCGACGTGGATGTTATTAGCCTGTTATTAACACTCGGTTTATTTTATTTTAGGGAAACAGGAGGAAGCCTCGTTGAATGGTGGCCTGACCCCCCCCCCCCTTAAGAACAGGATACATGATGATGACTGTGCCCCCCCCGTCTCTCTCCTGTCTAGCAGCTGATCTGGGAACTGCTGCACCTCAGCGTCACATCAGATTCACGGTCACGAGCGGTCTTGTTACCCCTCGAAACGTGCCCGCGACGCGCCGCGCGAACACGTAGACACGACCGAGAAGTGACCAACATGCTTACAACACACACACACACACACACACACACACACACACAGACGGTGGCCTGCGTAATAGTACATGCATGTGCACACGCCCAGACAGCCCAGCTAACTGTGTTCACGTGAACAGCCCCTCGGTTGTGAAATAAGCTCTGTGTTAAAAAAGAAGCTAGAAAGAAAGGCCAGTGTCGTCTCGTCTTCCGTTACCGTGCTGCTGTCAAACGTCCGAGCGACGCTTCGTAGCGTAAACCGACGGCCGGCCGAGGGCGCGGCGCTGGTGTGTCTCTCTGTCTTTTTCGGGTCGGGCTTGTCCTCCGGTCTCGTGTCCGTCTCCCGTCTCCCGTCTCTCCCTCCTTCCCCGTCTCTCGCCAGCTCTAGTCTCTGCCACTGGCGGCTTCCCCGCTGCTCGGGCGCTTCCGTGACGTCACGACGGTGGAGAGCGCGCCCCCGAGACGTATATTCCCCCCCTCTCCCTCCTCCTCCTCGTCTCTCCCAGACACGTGCACTGCTAATCCGTAATTATCCATAAAGCGACAATTGAACCACATGTAGTTTTTATATTATAATTCCAATTTTGTCCTATGCATGCGATATTATTGTCCACTTATGCCATTCTTAATATTATGAGTCATTTATTGTCAATCCCTGTTGAATGGATGGAACGTGGTGGAAGAGTTCAGGTCAATTGAAAGGTAAGGAAGTATTTATTTCATATACTTAATAAAAGCATTAAGACGCAGTAAAAATATTATATTGATAAATCAAATTACAAAAGTAGAAGAAATGTAGGGTACTACAGGTAGTATGTCAATGCCAAATGCATCCATAACTGTTATACTGTATAATATTGTCAAAAAATCTTGAAAGAATGTGTAAAAAGCAATTTAATGTTACAGGTGGTTTAGGTGTACTATTATTATACTGTTTTGTCATTTACTCTATTCTGATGCATAAAAATCCCAGAAATCACTCAATGTCACCAATCTAAGGGACTGTTGCATAACAAGTACAATATTTCTCTCTGAACTGTATAGTGGAGAAGAAGTGGTAAGGAAAATACAATACAATAAAGGAGATGATGACCGGAGCTGAATAGATTTATATGCTTCCTTAAAATACCTCTTGAGTCCAGATTTGTCTTTTTTTTAACCACGAACTTGCATTGCACGCAGTGTGTTTGATTTGAAGTAATGTTAAATTAACTAATACATTAGTTATTCTTGTTCTTTTTGTTTCCTCCCCCTTACAGAAGATGCCTCTCATAACTTTATTGTGACGATCCCTATATGTTGTTTATGTTATCATGTATTGGACCTGTTTCATTCTCAATCTTCTGACTTGTTGACGGAACGACCTACATGCAGTACGCAGCAATACTTCATAGCGGGTCACCGTGGACTCTCACACACAACCACACATCATCCTATGGTCCTCCCAACTATACACAAAACAAAGACACACGCACACACACGCTGTGTCCCGGTTCCCAGGGCGCCAGTCAGTCAGACAGCTGAGCTGAAGTATAAATAGTCCGCTGGCTACAGTTCCCCTTGAGAGAAGAACTTGTTATTGGTGGTCGTCGCAAACGTCCCCGTTAACCCGATCAGTGGATACTTTCCCCTGTGTTATATTATTTTAAGGAAAACACCGGACACCCGACAGCACTCAAGGCCCTTTTTTTTATTACAGCTGTATGAACACATATTAGAGCACATTCAGAACAGAAAATTATGTATCATTTTGCCCTCGGCATGAAGTAGAAGCTCACATTAAGAGTGGATTGCTCACCCTGGAGTCAAAACATAAAAAAAACACATAGTGTATGTTTACAATTGTTAGAATATTGACTGTTGAACTGTTATTGACAATATGAGGTGAGAAAAAGTAGTCGCGGTGTGCATGAGACCATGAACCTCGATACCTTGATACCTCGATTAATAACAGGACCTTCAAAAATATTCATCACAATTCAGAAAAGCCAAAGGTAATATATTTAAAAAATGCTTTTGACTTAACAAGAGTTCAAAACTAAATATATATTTCGTGCCTACTATTAGGTCTACTATTACATTAACCTACGAAAATGCCCAAATGTTTGCATTTGAGGAACTGTAACAAGAGATTTTTGGCAGCTTTGTAGTGGAAGAAATTAATTGGAGATTATTTTTCTGTGGATTGTCAAATCAATAAAGCTTAAACCTATCAAGAGCTATTTGAGATACAAGATGGAATTTATCATTCCTTATTTACTCAGGTGAGAGAATGCTGCCATCTCCTGGTCAGATGCAAATATTGCGAAGGTGAGTATTCCAGACGTGTAGACAGGTGGATACCGGTGATGAAGCGATGTGGTGGAAGGTTGCGGTTGCCAGGCAGGAGTGATGGGAAATCCAGGGTGAATGTAAAATTATGGTTAACAATCAGGCAGGGACTGGATGTCAGGTCTTGGCTCAGGTAGTGTTGTAGATGATGATCAGCACCAGATGTGTTGATTGCTGATTTGGAACGTGTGGGAGCGGGCATCGGTGATCCTGGACGCCTTGTACTCGTTGCCTGCAACCGGAACAGGCTACGTTCGGGAACAATGCCAAATACAAACCAGACACAGCAGATGAACCGGGAAAAAATACTGGGATTGTGACAGAGACTACCACCACTTTAAGCACTGGTCACTCCAGGAAGTGTTGGTGGTCTTCAGCGTCACCTTCACTTTCTCTGACTCTGTCTTGCTCTGCGCAGCTGAGTGTTTGCCTCCCTTTATACCCCTGGACATGGCGTGTTCCTTCATTTTCATCACTGACGTCTCACGGTCCAGCAGGACTTTCCGCCCTCTGAAAACGTGCTCCAACGGGACGGCTCGGTGAGCCGCGTGGTCGTCGCCCAGGCACATGAAGCAGACGCACGTCTGGTCCTCGCGACAGAAGAACTTGTCGTGCTTCTCACACACCCTGTCCTTCAGGTCGGACACCGGGTCCGTCAGCTGGTGCTTCTTGAGCGTCTTGACTCTGTGGTGGGGCTCCAGGTGAAGCCGGCAGTACGAGACCAGGCACACCATGCACGTTTTCTGGGCCTTGAGCTTCGGCGCGAGGCAGATGTCGCAGGGGACGTCACCCGGGTCGACGGGGACGTCGCCCTCGCCCCTCGCCGTCACGCCTTTGAAATGCTCCACCATGTCTCTGAAGCCTGTGTTGATCTGAAGCTGTGGAATCCGGCGGAACTTCTTCATGCAGAGCGGACAGTGTATCTGGCAGCTGGAGGCCCAGAAGCCGGTGATGCAAGTCCTGCAGTAGTTGTGTCCGCACGGAGTGGAGACGGGCTCGGTGAACACGTCCAGACAGATGGAGCACAGGATGGCCTGCGCGTCACACGGCGGGCCACTGGCCGAGGCCATGTCTGCGTGAGAGGAAAGGATTTCATGACGTGGTGCTTTTAAATTTCCGAGCCCCATTTGTAATTTGCAAAGCGTGTATGTGACGTATTGTACAGAGGCGGAGAGGTCGAGACCTTTACCTCCAGGCCACCAGGGCCACGTTCTATCAAGCAGGTTTATTGAAAAAAAATGATAACCCTGAGACAAGGGGAACTTAAATTCTCAGTCCGTTACCATGGTACTTCATCACTACTCTGTGATCTTAGTTTGTTGCTGAAAATATTCGGACATAACTGCTCTGAAAGTCATTTCTTTCAACAGTGTTTTTTTCACAAAGAGTCACGTAAACCAACTCAATGGGAGATGTTCACATAGTACGGCTGCCCCCCTTTGCATGTGTGCTTTTGCTTGCGTTGTCGTTCTGAAGTTATTGTTTGCCTCTCTGTGTTCCAGGGAGTGTCTCTCTGCCTGCCGGTATTCAGCAGCGACGCCCGGCTTGCCTGTCCACACCTCTCCGCCATCTTTCTTTCAGCTTCGCTCTCCCTTCTTCGGCTATTATTTTACTGTTATTTGATAGTATATATAATTATTTTAATTGGGCGTCCGAGTCGTTTGGGTCGAACGACAACTGACTTGAACAGACGCGCCATGGATTTAAAATATATTATTAATAAAATACCAAGATTTGTAATTAGTCAACCTGATTAAATAGCGGAAATAGTTGATATTCTGCCGCTGTCAAAGACGTCCCAGACGGTCATTACGGCTGACAACGGCACACTCAGATGTCAAGTTATATTTAAGATTGTAGTATAAGAGCACCTTACCTGTCGAGTAGTCTGTGGAAACTGACGTGTATGCAGGACGTTCAACTTTAGGTGGTATCTTTCTTTTCTTGAGGAATTTGAAGTATGAACCGGTGTATCCAGTTATGAGTTCATTGTTCTTTCACTTTGACATTGGTAACACCATTGAGGTTCTTTTTTAACCTCCCAAACCGTGAGTAGCAACCACACAAACAAACTGCAAATACACTCAACTATGCCCTCAAATACAGTGATTTGCTGCATTTTATGATCTGATAAATACACCTATAAGTATAATAGAAGGGCTATTCTGCAAACGTTACACTTTACTATATATGTATATGGCTTTGAACATCACGTTACCCTTTACGGAACAAACTGACAGAGGAGTGTTTTTTACATATATGTTCTTTAATTATTATTATATTATGTAATCATAAGCAAGTGTTAACATGTGTACAACAGGTCTGCTCAAAAGCTGACTGGGGAATCGAGTAGCCGAGACAAACATCAAACGTTAAGGGCACGAATAGAGTATAGTTAGTGTGTCTGTGACTTTAATCCTCAGCAGAAGTGTGTGTGCACGTCAGTGAAAGCGCATCATGAGCCACGGGAAGTGTCCGGAGCTCTGCATGCCGAAGGTACTGATGAAGAAGTTGAGGAATGTGGTGATGAAGACTATGACGGTCGTTACGTTGTTCAGGTAATCCAGACGTTTCTGCAGGGTGGAGTTATTCAGGTCCCGACGTCCTGTGACACGCACACACGCACACATGCACATGCATATACACACACACAACAACAACATGGAGAAAGAGAGAGTTCAAACTACACGCGGTGTCCCACAGAAATCCTCCTTTAGGCCTTGACGTGCTGCTTTTTGATGTCCGTGTCGTGAAGCGCTGACATCTACACATGCGCACACACACTTGCAAAAAAGCACATTATTATAATGTGCACATGTCGCTTGGCGTTTACTACGTTCTCTCCAGTGGACTAACAGACCTCGGTCAACCGCTCTAAAGGCCAAAGACCACAATAGGCATCGCATATGCTTCTGTTAAATCGCTCCATTTATTCAGCAGAATGTGTACGTACATATTAGAGGGATATGTCTTAATTATATTACCCCGCTTTTTGTCTGGTATTGAACCTAAAAATAATGCTCTATGTCAAACAAGCGTCTTTGAAAATAAACCACATCAAAAAATGCTTCCAAATACAATGTAAACCCATATTAATATACACATAATATCAACATTATTGCACAAGCATGTTATTGCAGCCAATGAAATAGTACATATTTACATAGATATTCAGTTGGTTAAAGGGAAGATATTTTAGTTGGATTACAATGTGAGGCACATTCCACGAGCCTGATAAATAAGATGTGATGTTTCGACGTCGCATGTGAAACTGACAGCATGGAATTTCAACTGTGCGTCAGCACGTTGACAGAGTGTGCACCCGTTAAATCAACTGCCTGCATCTGTGGTTTTGTGTGTGTGTGTGTGTGTGTGTGTGTGCGTGCGTGTGTCAGAAGTGGAGTCGAGCCAGCAGCCAGCGGAAGAAACCCGTCCTCTTGGATCCGAAGAAGCTGACAAAGAAGTTAACCACCGCGGTGACGAAGATGACACCTGTGGCGAGGTTGTTCAGGTAGTCGAGTCGTTTCTGATTGGACACCACGTTCAGGTCCCTGCGGGCTACAATACACACACACACACACACACAAACACACACAGACAACACACACAGACAAACACACACACATCCACACACAGTCACACATGTGCTGCACACGTGAAATCACAGATGCTCCATACGTGCAGTAATGTACCCGCCAATGAACACACCCTGTCACACGCCCTCCAGCCTCCGGCTACTGTCTAGATCAGGGGGCATTTTGACCCTCGACCAACAAATGAACCCCCGTCTGTTCCAGTCAGTGTAAGTCCCCTTAGTAACAGACTCGGAGTACGCTTTGATAAAATATCAACATGAATGTCTGTAATTTAAACTTTTCTAAATTTTCAAGCGTGTCTCCACAGCTCCCTTCTGTCTTTGTCCGAACATGTTGAGCCTCTAGAAGCCTGTCCTGCACACTAGAGGCAGGACAAAGAAAAACGTGATGGACGTGATTTCAGGAAACATCCTTTACCGTAAACGCAAGCCAGAAACTTAAGTGAAGGAGCACGTTTGTCGGATGCATTTCTGGGATGGGTGCATTAGACCTTCGGGCAGTGGCAGGCTAAATTCCACACAAGTCAACTTCAAACACGCCAACGTGCAGTTTTCTTTGCGCGTCGACGTACGTACGGAGCGCGTTATCTGTCGCGGGCCTACAGGACGAAGCGCTGCAGCAGCCACCGCAGGAAGCAGCTGCGCTGCGTGCCGAAGGCGGCTTTGACGACGTTGACGATGAGCGTGAGGAAGACGAGGCCGGTGGTCAGATTGTTCAGGAAGTTTAACAACCGCTGACGAGAGGGGAGGAGGGTCAGCTCACAACGAGCTGCACGAGCACACAAACGCAGACACACACACACACACACACGCATACATGCATTACACGCAGACAGAAACACACACAGACACACACCTAGTTGGTCCCTTAGCCCAATCCATCCATCCTGTATGAAGTACAAAAATACTGCGGTTGATTAGTACTTTAAGTAGAATGAGTGTGTGTGTGTGTGTGTGTGTGCGTGTGTGTGTGCACATAGTTTGGTCCTGTGTTGAATGTGTTAGACTCTTTCCCTACTGTGCAGATACGTCTCCATATTAGAGTCATCGCCTACATCAGAAGCGCTAGAAATGCATCCTGGCAAAGAGACCCGTGCGCTCCATCCCGAAGACGGAGATGAAGATGTTGGTGACAAAGACGAGGAAGACGAGGACGGTCGTTGTGTTGTTCAGGCCGTCCAGGCGCTTCTGATTGGCCTCTTCGCTGATGTCTCGCCGAGCTGCAATAATGTACACACAAACACACACACACGCCGAAAAATAGCAGCAAAACAAAAACTAAGCAAAGCGCTCCGATCACAGTTCCAATGCATTTGATTTTACTTTCATCAGCCTTTTTCCTTCAGACCTCATGTCTCATAATGAGTGTCTTTGGCTGTGTGTATCTTCACAGCAAATCAGTAGTCTGTGCGTTAGTGTGTTAACATGGGTGGTTAAGAACACGTAGGATGGATGTCTGATTCATTTCAAGCCGACTAAATGCTGTAATGCGATCGGCTCACCGATGATGATGATCAGGACTCCGGCCACTATCTGCAGAGCGAGGGAGAAGGAGATGAGCGTCAGGACGGCAGCGTAGTACCTGACGAAGAGAGAGAGAAGCGTTATGCAGGAGTTTGAACCCAGGTGGATCATTTATCTCATTGAACTACTTTGCAGTGAGATGCTGCAGTTTGTCACGGACACTGTACCTGTATCCAGCTCCCTGCTCGATGACAGTCTTCATGTGGGTGATGTTAGCCAGGAACAGAGCAATGTCCAACATGCCCTCCGCCGCCGTCTTCTTGGTGGCATACAGGTTCATGTTCAGATTTGAGGGCGAACCTCCCTGAAAAATTTTAGCATTCATATTAGAGATTTCAAGCGATCCGCAGAGCTTCCCAAAGGCTTCAGCGGTATAAAGTTCACGTCCATCCTGTCTGTACCAGAAGGAATTTTCTGTCGTCTGATATCAAGACAATGAACTCGTAATCTGGAGACAGGCTTTGAACAAAACAAAAAAAAACAGGGGAGAAGTAGACTGAAGTCCATGTTTCTGCGCTGAAGTTTGACCAAGAGAGGGCAGCAAAGACTAAGATCCACGCCGCAGGAACCGCCTGGAAAAGTGTGATGAGGTAAACTGTGATTGTTTTCTTATTTATTGATGCTCAAATTAAATCAAACTCGACATTCATCATTTAAATAGTTGTATTCGTTGTACTACATGTAGTGAACGTCATAGTTTTGCAGCAGGGGTGAGATAAGCTTTTATTTTGACAGCTCAGAAACCATTTCTTTTTTTCTTCTCCAGGCTAATTTATTCTAAAATAATAAGAGTCATTGTAGCACATTGGATATCTGCACATGCATGTGTTCATGCATGTGCAGATGTCAACAGGATCTTAATTTTTTACATAACGCCTACGTCTTGGACCAAGATTTCTCTCGATCTGGCTCACTCATTGCAGACCAGGCACATGTTGGATTACTTAACACTTCCCTACAGATTAAAGCGTTCTGTCGGGAGACAAATCACTTTACCCGAAGCTGCGTCGGCGCAGTTTGAAACAGTGCAGTCTGTTTTTCTTTCGTCTCCACAGAAACAGAGAAGGCGTTGATGACAGACATACATAGATCACGTGTGTAGGGACACTTCTTAACTTCACGACCCCACTCAGACTCCAAAATCAACAGAACGTAGAGACGTAAGGCACGAGCAGTAATTGTTCAAACCTGCAGCTTCTCCCCTTTTGTTTTTGTGTGGCCCACAAGGACCTTTTTCATTTACCGAGACCCTTAATGGTCACCAGTGTTTGCAGCTCATTGTATTCACTCTCCAGTCGTCGTGGCAACGCCGTGGTTGGTCAACAGTGTTCTCGTGGGCCGAGATCATGTGCCTCGGTTTCTCCCTTGACCTTTTCAGACGGAAACTTGGCAGGTGCACTTTTGCAAAAAGAAAAAGAAAAAAAAAGAAAACATACATACATATTTTCCGACAACAGTGTTCAAATGAGGTCTCTTGTCTTATCGGGAGCACGTCTGGAACCAGACGGCGCTGTTGACATATTCACGAGAAGGTTTTGGACTCTCCGAGAGCCACAAAACCAGAACCAAAACAAACCGGCCCTCCGGGCAGGAAGGAAAGAATGCCTTTTGGGGGTATTTTTGGATAACCTGCACCTTGCACGTCATCCAAATGTTTACCAAGCCCGGAGTTAGATTTAAAGTCTAAATAAATCCATTCTTGTGAAGAACAATATACACCCCCCTCCCTGCCCCCCCCCATGTTCCAATGCTGTGAACACATGTGGGCTTCATACAGTACAGCTTGATCCAGATGGGGGTAAATCTCGAAGAAAGTATGAGGCAATTCCTGGAACTGCGGGGCTGTCAAAACACTGCGAGCACGTGTTCGTTCCGAGCCCCTTTTGAATGTTTTGTGTGTGCGAGAGACGGCGCTGGAAGGAAAAAGAGAGGAAGGGATGTGGGCAAGAGAAAGAAAAGAGAAGACGTTTGTATAAATGAGCTGGCCTGTTTCCATTTTTTCTCCTTTGGGGACTCGTGTGGTCACAATTTATCAACCTCAGCTTTGGGCATGCCCCCAAAACACACACACACACACACACACACACACACAGAACACAATCATAACACTGCAAAGGCCTACATACGGTTTTATGGACCATGTGTGTTCACTTAGTTTAATGTCTCTTTAAATGTGCTTTTATGAAGCTTAATGTGAATTTATATTGGAATTTATGAAATTATTATTCTACCCCTGTTAGTTTCCCCGGACACAGAGGGACGTGTCCTTGTTTACAGCACGCGTTTATCTCCAGAAGCTTTGAGCCAGTCCAGGATTGACTTTACCTGACTCAGCTTTTGCTTTTGTGCAATGAGAAGAAAATAAAATCAGCTCGTCTGTGTGGAACCGCCATTTACAACTTGTCTCCTAATAATTTGACGGCTGCCGATGTTGTGCGTTAAAACGATTACAGGGTCTGCAGCATATTAGTGCCTCATTGTTCTGGCCTCACTGGATTATTGTCCCATCGTATGGTGTTTTTGGAGATTTCTCTCTGATAGTCAGCAGCACTCAATAAAACTGCTATCAAACTTTATGTTCATTGCTTGAAGATTAAAAACAACTTTAACCGCCGTAAAGGCGTTTTTATCTGACTAATGAACACATACAAGATGAAATGGGAACATGCAGCTGCCACTCGGCATCTGCAACGAGTTGCTGTAAGTAAGTGCATCATGTGATCGCTGGGAATGATGGATGTTGGATTATCACCAAATGAATTCATGGAACAGATAATTGTGAAAATAACATCTTAATATATAGATATAAAAAACTAAAAAATGTATCACTCAGACTCCTGAATCCAAGTATTTGACACATTCAAGCCTTGATCTGCTGATGACAGGAAATGAAAAAAGTCATAAAAGTTACGACAATTCACTTGAACCAGGTTTAATTACAATATTACAATACAATATTATGATAATATAGAATGTGACTCCAGTGCTGACCTGGGTAAATTAACTTTACCCCTGTAGACAGAAGTTCTCCTCACAGTGTTTATTGTGGACATGTGGTATTCATAGACTTAACGCATGTAAAACTTCCATTCCTGAATTTCACTGATGCAAAACCCAAGGCCATCACACAACGTACACGCACCCACAACCGCTCCGCACACACAGTTACAACACACTTGAATGTGTTGCTCCACATCCACGGATTTAAGTACATTTGTGCCCCCGATGTGCCCCCCAAAAAACCACAAGTCGGTTCACATTTAATTGCACATAGACACACGCAAATATACACCAGACCACATGGGAGCCCCCCAGCGCCCTTCCCTCCCCCCTTGACCTAACAGGAAGTGCTCCTCCCCTGCGCTCCTATTGGTTGCCATCAAGGCCAATAGGAAAAGAGGCCCAACTAGGAGTGGAGCTCTGGTTTTCTTCTAATTACTTTTTTTTTTTACCGTTGGTCCGTCCCTCCATTGCTCCGTCCGTCTGTTTCAGCTCCTCTTCGGTTCCTTTGTTGCTGTTTTTTTTTTCTCCAAAAAGCTCCCTCTGCCTGTTTTATGTAGCTGCCATTTAGGGTGAGGCAGCACGAAGGAAGCGGAGAAGCAGATGAAGAGAAACCGATAGTGACACAAAGACGAGGTTGAGGCCCCCCGGGCAGAGACACCCGTCGCGTTTCCTCCTGCTGACGTGACTGGCAGCAGAACCGCGTCCGACTCACGACTTACCTCACACATGCCCGTTCTGTTGCCTGCAACTAAGAGCGTTATGTGTGTTTTTTAAGAAATGACTCACATTGCTTCCTGCCGCAGTGGCTTTCCTTATTAAATTCTGCAGCGTGCTGACGGGAAGTTAGAGCGTATCTATATGTTACAGCTGAACACTTCTTGAGGTTAGAGATGCACTTGGGTTTTCTTTTTTTTCGCTGGTGGCCCCTACAGGTACACAAGAAGTGAGGATTGAATTGACCTCTGAGTGCCAGCAGAGCGTCACACCTCTTGTACTTGTTTGGCACTTGTTTGTTTTAGGGAGACGGTTCAGTCCTCATACCGCTGCGCTTCAGGTTATTTGTCTGTATGTAAATGTCAACCTGTGGGCTGATGAGAGGACGGGGGGACGTGGGGGAGGGGAGGTGGGTGGGGGGACATGCAAGTGAAAAGACCCATTATGTTAATAGAGATGCAAACAGCGGATACAACTCAACACGTGCACACAGCATCGAACTAAGTGAGTCAGAGTCAATACACTTATTGGGTGAACTTTGACATGCAAGAAGAAAAACAGGGACGAGGCTGTTACCTACACACACACATACACACATGCACCATTTGTGTCATGACTCACACATGCAGTGGTCTTACAACTGACCCTTGATCTCTGCCCTTTGGCCATCCACCGTCCTGCTGACTGGGCTGTAATTAGTAAAGCCGGCTCGACAGTGAAAACCTTAACTTGCCGTGTGCGTCGCTTTTTATTCTTCAAGCCAGATGTTACGTAATCTCATCTGAAGATGATGCTGATCTTTACCTTTTGGTTTTCCATGGTCACAGAAACAACAAACGCCAATGAGTAAATAAGCAAAACCCAAAGCTGTTTAGCCATTATTTTTAGTTTCTCTAACAAACCCGATCCCGCTGAGTCCTTTTAACACAACTAACCGAACCCTCATCGCAATTCTTCTGTTACATCACGTCCGGGTCCTTTTTCACCCTTTGACCCTTCTTCCACTCACTTCTACTGTTTAAAATCACATAAACCATCGCTTTCCTTCTTGTCTCTGCCTCCCCCATTCGGCTTGGAGAAACAGATAGAAAGGCTTAATGAGAGACAGTGTGTTCTCCCTCTTTACATCTTCCATCTGTCTATTTGCTGGTCCTCGCTTTGCCTTTTTTATCCTCCCACTTTCATCCAATGGAGGGCGAGCTGTTGCACAGATAGGATGGAAGCCTCAGTAATGCCGGGCAGGATGTACACAAAACTCCATGTGCGTGTGTGTGTGTGTGTGTGTGTGTGTGTGTGTGTGTGTGCGTGTGTGTGTGTGTGTGAGATTTATGAGCAAACAGAGATATGGATTTTTGTTAACAAGCCTACCAGAGACTTTCCCCGGCTGATTCATCCATCTTCCGCGTAGCCCAATGATAACTTGAACGTGCATGAAATATTTAAATTGTGCATTTGAGAAATGATGATTGGAAAGGAGCCATCGCACAGAAAGGCATCAAGCTTTAATTTCACGCCTGTTGAAAGAAAACCTGAACACAAAAGTTCCGCACTATATTTTTCGGCCTTTATCGGTTTTCTCTGACATATAAAATGTGATTAGACCCACTTTTTTAAAGTGATGTCATTGGTCTTCATTTCTTCAAAACACAGTGATTTGACACATACAGGTAGAGAGTAACTGCTCCATTCCAGCATGTTGTGGTTGTGTGTCTTTGTGCGTGCATTTGAGTGGTCTGTGCGAGGGAGAGAAGAAGTGGTAGTGATCTGATATCAGTCGGCGCTCCTGCGTTCCTGACCATGAACACATGGGGAAATAGATTCTCGCACATGTCTCCACCAGCTGGACCTCGTGGCATCTTTTCAAAGATTCAACCGGCAGAGTTTCAATCAATCAATTCAAATCAATCTCAAGACAAATGTCAAGCGCGCTTTTACCTCCAGTACTTTGATTTAGATGACTAAGCACACGGTTTGGTTTCAATCCGGTTTTCAAATCCCTTTGACATCAGCTGCAGGTGCCGGCGGTGTGTAGTTTGCGTGTGTGCCCACGTGTGAAAGGAGAGCCCATAAACACCTGGTTCTCCTCAGACGACATCAGAGCCTGCCGAATAAGAGCTTGACATGTGCCGTGCACTGTTATAGCCTCCTTTGGCATGCTAAATACCTTCGAGAACACGTGCCCCGTCGGTGCGTCCGGCCATGGAAACGCTACCAAAACACACACGCAAACAGACGCGTTGTTACTCGTGTCCGAGGTCGCCACTTCGCTTAACTTCAGCGCCGACAAGCAGGAATGATAAGTACGAGCAGCCTTAGTTACCACGCGGCCTCCTAGCAAATGCAAATCTCTTGAATATGCAGCTCAGTCAGACGTCGTCTGAGGCTGATTATAATGACGGAGGATTTAATCTTGACTTCGTGCTTCAATTTAAAGGCAAAAGGCAACTGCTTTTCACCCGTGTCGCAGATTCTCTTAACTTCATCCACAACAGAAGCAAGCATTTGTTGATATGTCCAAACTAGAATGTATGTCTGCAGCTGGGTGGTATTTTCATGCACATCAAATCCAGTTTACACACTTTTTTTCTTTAAGAAAATTACTCTGCGAGCTGTTCGAAAATATATATTAGGAAACCAGTGGATTCCCATTACTTACCAACTAAACACACACACACATACGCACACGTACAATGGTAACGATGGTTGCTTCACACAATGGCTTGTAAAAAAGGGCCCCCGCCTCCTTCCAGGATGATTTGTGGAGTTGTAAAAATACTCTAGTCATTGTTGAGTGTTTGCTGAAAGATTTTATCCCAGGGAAGGCATGTTTGGAAAGGGCACGATGCGATGTCAAAGAGTCTTTGTGGGTAAGAACACGGTAGCGATATCTGGAATTCTTTGTGTTGCTTTCTGCCGTTTGACATAATGGAATTTACTCTTTACTTGAAAAAACAAATGAATACCAGGTAAGTTTCGGCAATGAATCCGACGTATCCAAGTGGTACGACGTCATGCTGTCTTCTGGCTGCCACCCTTCAGGAGAACAGTGAGTTGCTCAAGGACCCCTCAGGGGTGCAGATGTTTGCTCATGTGGGAGCCGGTTGCAGACCTTCCCTCTGAAGGAATGTTGTCTCCAGAGCAGCAGCACACGGGTCATTACAAGAGGGAAATAAGCATGAAACAAGGTTCAGATCGTGAGATAGTTCAAGTGTTTCACAGCAATAAAGACTAGGAATACTCTTTTACCAGAGGCTGCAGCGCAGCATTCACCAGGACGGCTGAGAACAAACGTACTTTAAGGTCGAAATGTTTCGATCGTGGAAAAATATCCTGTTGTTTTTGTTCGACTTCTTTCATTCAATGCGGAGCGAAGAAGGGATTGTGGATCGTTCAGCCGTGGTTACCTGACACACGGCATCTCACATAATGTCACATCAAAATCACTGTTACTCGTTTTGGTTTTGTGTGTGTGTGTGTGTGTGTGTGTTTTTCATACTACAGGTATAAGTATACTATCATGTATAAGCCCCAAACTCAATGAAGCATCAAATACAACAACACAACTGGTAGATAGTTACATTCACGAGTCATGTAGCCTCAGAGTAACAACCGCCCTGATTACACAACGGTGTCCCGACAATGTTTGCAGTTTGGCGTAATTATCAGTGATTGATCCTTAAAGTCAGATTGCCACAACATTAGAGAGAGGGCCAGTGTGTCCAAAACAAACATGGCGGGAGGAGAGTGGAAGGGGCACCCTGCTGCAGGATGCGAGCGTGTGTGTGTGTGTGTGTACACGTTTTATACTGTACTGTAAATAGCTGTCCAGCACAGTTTGTGCGCCTGTGTTTTTGGAGCGGTGCCTGAGGGGGCTGAGGTGTGGCGTGAAGAGGTCCAATGAGAGAACGGTATCTCTTTCACTGCCGGCGTTTGAAGAAAAAAAAAAAAAAAGGAGGAAAAAGTAGCAACGGATGAGGCGAAGCTCAAGTCTCAGGCATTCAAGCCCCCGGCCCTCAGCCATGTGCGATATCGCAGGCCATTTCTTCTGCACGCTCTAATGACTCGGCCTTCATCGACATCCAGAGCACACACGCACGCACCCACCCACACACACACACACACACACACACGCACGCACTTCCTTCCTCTGTGTTGGTGTGCGTGTGGGCATTACCCGCTTCCCAAGTTCCAAGAATTCCGCTGTTTTGTGCCAAAGCTGCATCCCAAATCTGTAGACATTTAAAGAAACAGACAGATATAGACACGGCCTGGGGTTCCAAACGTAACGAGACAGACCAAAAACAACCCTCAAAATTAAACTCTGGGGGTGTCTTTTGTTTCTGTATTAGCAACAGATACTTTCCACTGAAGAAATCATGGGTCTTTAAACTCATTTTCCAACATTTTCAGTAACTTATATAAACATTATTGTAAAGCCCTTATAGCGGGCATGAAGGTACTGCAGAGATCTGTGTTTGCACAGTCAGATATATTTCCAGTGGAATGTACTTTTGACTGAAAAAGCCTGAGAAATCTACTCAGACTGAAAGAAATCTCAGGCTGGGCTCTGAGATTCAGACTTTTACGATGAAGACAGCAGTAAAAGAATGTGCTTACATACTGTACATAAATGGCAAAGGGGTTTGTTTGGAAATAGATGTTTAAAAGGTACAAACCAACCACAGACCATTGTTAAAAACGTGATGGTTTGAGCTTTCTCACTGCTGATGTGCCTTTGAACAAAAGACTGAAGCCCCTTTTTCTTCTCAACATGAATGGTAGTCAATGATATTTTTTCGTTGCTCCTGAAATCCACCTCAAAACTCACCGAATGCGCGTTTGCACGCCGCGTCTGTGCATGAGACGTCCGATCGACGGCTGCGCGGCGGTGTAGGATTTCAATCCCTGCCAGCACGTTGTTTACGCAGGACGTGACAGGTGGCGGTACACAACAGTCACCTGCACCTGGGACTCCGGTTCTACCAGCCAGTCCACACACACACACACACACACACACACACACACACACACACACACACACACACACACGCTTGACTCTGTTGCTTTGTGCATGTATTTGATCACAGAGGCAACAGAAGTGTGCCTGATGCACGTAATGTGGATAAGCCAAAGGAACGCCCTGACTGTTTTTGACTGTTTGAACATGTGCACACACGCATACCGACCTACATATCTCAAGATGTACCTGTACATGCCAGTGATGCTGCAACACTCTCGTGTCACTGGCACGCAAACGCACACAGCGGAAACATACAGTGTCCCTGTCTTTTGTGAAGTTAAGGGAAGTTAATTTACCACAGTGATAAAAAGCAAGATAATATTCTCTGTAATAACAGTGAGGGCGGTACGGGGATATCAGATGTTCAGCGCATAGCTGAGGTTCACACACTGTCATCACAGTGAAGGACTTAAATCCCAGTCTGGCTACCTGGTAACAACAAGAGCCATTGTTGCTGTGGCAATGTGGCAACGATCAACGCGGCTCTCAGAGCTCTCTCTCCGATCAAAGCTACTTCAACAGCCGCTCGTGTCATTTCCGATAACCGCACGACTGTACCGCCGCTGGAGGACGAAGGGTTTAATCGCCGCGATGGAGGTTTTTTTCCACTGCGACGAAGCCATCAACGTCCGGTGGCAAGTGAGGAATTCACCCGCACACAGTGGATTCACATGCCAACTATCCCTTTAGGTACTCTGATTCAAATCCATTCACCATTAGTTTTAAACCACCGTCAGACGGTTTGGCAGAGCGGTAAACCATCGCATAGCTAACAAGTCACACAATGCAAATGTTTCTCGTGTCATCTTAGTCTAGTGTGTGAACATGTGCAGCTGAGGCTGTTGGTCATACGTTTTGACTTGATGATTGCGCTTAATGAAGGCAGTCAGGAAGTCAAAGTCATTACAATTCATCCTCTGGGGACCATAAATGCACTGGTTTTTAATGGTATCCAGTGACTTAGAGTCTGTGTGTGTGTGTGTATGGCCCTGAGAAGAGGTGAATAACTATTTGTATGAGAAGTTATTGCTGTGTATTTTCACCGAGGAGTTTAAAGTGTACACATTTATTCCAGCAACGCACACTCACACAAACATAAAGGTACGACTACTTAACCTCAGACAGGACTTCTCTTTATTTTGGCTCCTGGAGGCTCCTAAAGATGATGTATATGTTTGCACTGAAAGCTGTAATAAAATGTTACGTATACAGTTCTGAGGAAGTTTTAAAATCCAAGCAGGGACAGCTGCTTGTTAAAGTAGTGGCCATAGAAAATAAAAGAGTTTAAAATAGAGATGATAGAGATTAAAGACGACCTTCTAAACATTTCCATCGTAGAATATCTGATAAATTTTCAAATCCAACGATAATGACAACAGAAACGCCTTCGGGCTTTCACACAGAGGACAATTCATGACAGAGAGCCTTTGTTCCGCTGTTGCCGTGATCTCATTGTGTGGAGATCAACAATCGTCCCATGAGCACCGAAGGCACCGGGGGAGGTGGGGGAGGTCGGGGGGGGGGCGTCAGCCGGCGAGTCCGGATGAGGTAAGACAGAACCTCGCCCCACCTCCCGCACGCTCCTTCTTCCTGCCCTGCTGCCCCTTCTCCCTTTCAACACGTTGGAAAATCACAGATGACCTCACACAGCTCCAGCGTTCTGCCGCATTCACCGAAAACACAATGGTGGAATGCTCGGCGTGCACGTTGGACAGACGCACAGCGCAATCGCTCCCGAGGGTCCACGTGAGACTGAGCAGAAGCAGAAACACACGCACGCAATGCGGTCCAACAAGCTCGGGAGGTCACGCTCTCTGGGTGAGATTGCTCTTATTCTCCTGGATTCCACAAGTTCCTCTCCCTGTTTTTGTAAATTACAAGAATGAAATGACAAGATGGATGTCCCACAGGCCTCTAGCATTACATGTTTACAACATTGTGCACGTCTATTGCTGTGATTTTAAGAAAAAAACAGCTACATGCGTTTTTGTGAGCTGGGTGTGTATACACAGTCAAGTAAATCTGGTGTGCATTTTTAATTATATGGGTAGAAGTGAGTTATAATGTCCCAGCAGGCGAGGCTCAGCACTGGAGTGGTAGGAGGGGTGGGTGTGGGGAGGGGGGTCTTTCTTGGCACGTGCAACTGGGACAAGTGGATGAGGAACAAAAGTGTGACATCACACTCTCGTCCTAACGCTGCAGCCAGTGATTACGTCATGAGTATTAAGGTTTTTAGGATAATCTTTTTTTGGCTTGAGAAACAGCGTCCCGTCTTTTTACTTAGAAATAGGATTTAAGTCTAGATTGGAAAGTGATTCCCACTGTGACACAATCATTTTGGATTAATGGAAGAGACAGAGACAGAGAGACTAGTGTGTGTCTGTGTGTGTGTGTGTAATTGTTTTTATCTGGTGGGTTCTAAAGTTTGCTCTGGTCCCATTTGTCATGGCTCTTTTTTTTTGCACACTCTCACAACCTCAAAGTCCTTTCACGTTTCAGCACGCGGAAGAACACAAACGGCAGCCAATTGGACTCTATTCCAGTAAGAAAAGCTGTTTCAGATTCAAGTCGAGCCGGCTGTCTGAAATAAAAATAAAAACACACACTTCCCCTGTGAGGCAAGAATTGAAGACAGTCAAGAAGACAAGAAATGGAAGCGGGCCGGAGGTGAAGTGAAAAGGAAGATACAAAACAGTTCCCTTTATAAGCACCATCTGGTTCACTCATACGTTGGCACATTTGAAAGTGGGTTCGGGGCCACTCGTCCACCTTTCCACCACAGTACAAGTAGACGGTAGCATTTGAAATAAAAATGAATTTCAAAAATCCAAATTGATTAATGTCAAATGCTGGAATAACACCCACAATGACGAGAATTCAGATGTGAAGTTGGACAACAGCAGCTGACAAACGACACCAGTGCTTCTCTTTGAGCCAAAAGGTACCAAAAGTCAGAAAGGTCATATGACATTGAAATAACTACAAAGCCCAACACAACGTACCGAATTCCAAAATAGGTAATTGCATATGTTGAAATCTAATATTTTCTGATGACTAATGGGAATCAAAGTGAATCCTAACTGGGTTATCTGATTATCTTGATATTAAATACTAAATTACAATGTAAACTCACACAGTAAATATCAACGTACAAAGACTGAATCATATATGTACAATAGTTTGGACATATGCTGCAACATATTGCAACGCAATTCATTTAAAGAAGAGGCTCGACTTGGTCCAGGGTAAAAGTTCCCGGAAGCCCCCCCCCCCCATCCTCCCCACACACACACACACACACACACGCACACACACGCACACACAGAGACACGTCCATACACACATGCATGCACACAAAGAGACTTTCTCGTACTTCACAGATACACTTAGAATGTGGCATCTGCCATGAAGGGGCCGAGGTGATGTTACACAGGCGTACACACACACACACACACACACACACAGACGCACACAGACGCACATAACGTCACAGAGAGGCAGCAATGTATTCTGGGAGGTGAGAGATGTGGGAAGAAGATGAGAGGGATGGTGGTCATGGAGCAGCACACTCTGAAACCGATGGAGCAAATCAAAACTATCGCAGTAAACAAGTTGTTATTCAGAGGAAAGATACAGGCAGAACGAGAGATTACGGTTGTCACAATTGTTATTATAACACACGGTGACAAATGATCTCGAGAATGTGTTAATATTGCTTTCATTGTTGGCATGAGTGGCAACACAAAAAGAGCATGGAAAGGTTAAACCAAATCATCCGCCTCTCGGTGATATCCTTCTTTTTGTCAACTAAACCAACTAAACCAACTAAACCAACGGCGACTTGACTTTATTTAGACGGTAAGTACTACCTGTGCACACAAATATTGATATAGCTTAATTCACCGGGACATAGAGCTCCCATTGTAATAACACATGAGTCACCGAGTGAGAACTTCTTTCAATTCCACGAACGCTCGCTAGATTATTTTGCGATGATGCCACGGCTGATTAATAACACCACTTATTTAAAGATCAGCATTCATTGAACGCTCGTTGAACTCCCAAGAGCACGAGCGCGTCGGGGCGTCGCCAGGTGCGTCACGTGAAAAGGACACAGCTTCTCCACCAGCTGGCGGCGGCGGCCATGTCTGATTTATTGTCCAGGGGCGCAGCAGCTCTTTTTACGGGGCGCTCCACGTTCTAGGCGAAGCTCAATAAACGGCGACCTCTTCCTCAGCAGGGGTGAGGGGGGGCGGGAGGGGGGTCGGCTCCATTCATTGGCTTTTATCAGAAGGACACTGACAAGTGTTCCCCTCTCATCTCAAGAGACAAACTCCTTGTGTGCGACCATTCTTTTCTTCTCGTCTTTTTGAGTCGCGGCCTCCGCGCCTGGAGGGGCCGCGTGATTCCCGTTGACTCCGCGTCGGCGCCCCGCGCCCTGGTTCGCTGTGCTCTATACATAGACAGCGGCTTAGAGGTGGCAAGCCTTCGCACCACCGAAATAGAATCGCCTGCACCGGCTTCACGCGCTCGGGGGGGGGGAAGAAAAAAGAATGACCGTACTCGATTTGAGGATATGGTCTGGGCATTGTGGTGTTGAAAAGATGAAGTGACTGAGAAAAACATTCAAACGTGGCATGGAAAAGACACAGTGGTATAACGGCTCTTCCTCTCACTTGATATGTTACCTTGATAAACTCTGAAACAAACATGTATTTATGTTTGCGGTGCCTTTTCAGAGCCACTACTTAAAGGAACCCGTGGACTCGTGAGGCCAACAAGTCTTGTCCTATATAACAATAATGGCCATAAATGGGCAGTGATTATTCTGCAACAGCAGCGGCAGGTGTCAGATTGTGAGGAAGACCAACGTGTATCCACAGTTGTGCGGCCTGTGCGTACATGCATGCGCGTGCTGACCACGCCCGGCGTCGACATGCAGGATGTGAGTCCCGCCGTGCAAGCGGTTTCCCCAAACACGCATACGCATACGTTCAGGCGTTTCCGCGTGCAATCGGGGAAACAGGTTTTTGAATATTTGTATTGGTGGGATAAAAGGTCTCCCCCAACAGTCCCGGTGGCCTTAATCGCCGTTAGCGATGCAAGTTGTCCAATAAGATTTGTTTTTGCTAATTACTGGTAGAACACAGCTGTCAGTAGACACTGTAATCGCCAGGACCAATGTTCCCCAACATTACGGATAAACTGTGTTTTCATAAATGGTAATGTTGTTGGAGGATTGAAAGTAACCGCGTGTTTGTGTGTTCAGTTAAATGAATGAACAGGACCAGCATTCATGAGGGGTGAATTTGGAAGCGGTTTGAAGGTAGCAAACTTATTTTTGCAGCTACATGAATTCAGTCAAACTACAGAAACTTTCAGTAATATTACTATTGTGTAAAATTCAATTCAAAACTAAATGTTTAATCAGTTTTGTTTTTGTTAAGCTTGGTGATGTTACCCCTGATTACGACACACAACCTCCCCAACACACACACTCACGCACACATATATCAGACTATCTGAATTCACATGAGTTAGTTTGAGGTTTAGGTTTTAATTCACCCATAAACACTGTGATTATGTGGTTGTATTTAGTGTGGATGATAACGTAATATACAACTACGTCCGCGTGCGAACACACATACACATGCACACACACACACACACACACACACACACACACACACACACACACACACACACACACACACACACACACACACACACTTACTCTTGAGTAACTGCACTTTGTTCACTGGAGACCATGTAGCTAAATATAACCAGTAACCGACAGCCCCGCTGGCTGACAGGCAGAAACATTGCTGGCTCTGACACTGACACAGAAGAGGAATCGCAACACACACCAGAGAGCGTGTGTGTGTGTGTGTGTGTGTGTGTGTGTGAACTGTGTGCATACCTATTACTGTAGTGAATAATGAGTCTGAGGAACATTTGAAGAAGTCGTACAATGTTCGACTTGTGAAACAACAAGGCCTTAAAATAAATCTTCTTAAAACCACAACCTTTCCTTGACCCCTTTTTATGGCCATTAAATGAGTCCCTGTTCTGTTGACCACTGGCTGCATTAAGAGGACTTAGTTACCTTTGCACCTACGCCCTAATTGATTTTTGATGGATGTTGCGACCATAAGCCGGTCTCAGAATAGATCACGGACGCTTGGTCGGACCCGGCGAGCGGCGCAGCAGCCCTCTGATCCTCGGCCTCTCACGTGGGCCGGACATACCGCGGCTCTGTGGCAAAGCTTCACCGTAGGCCGAGGAGCCGAGATGAAAAGAGTGAAGGGGAGAGGGGAGAGGGAAAGGAAGAGAGGAAGATAGGACGACCGAAAAGCTGCACCTACACTTCAACGTCAATCAAATTGGTCCTTCTTTGTCCCCCTGTCTCTCTCTCTCTCTCTCTCTCTCTCTCTTTTCGCAGTTTCCTCCCCCGTTTTGGGTGCACTAACCTGCAGAGGGCCGCCGGCCGGCATGGTGGATCTCAGCGACGTCAGGTCGATGTCTCGGCCCTGCTCCCCTCTCTCTGTCTTCCCGAGTCCCTGCATAATAAGGCCCCCACACGCACACACAGTCGCGTGCACACACACACAGTCGCGTTCCGAGCTTGTTCCCCGACGGCGGTGCAAATGCTATTGCGAGGATGGCAGTGGTCGCCTGTGAAAGAAAATGCCCCTGGCCGACGAGCATGGAGCACCAGGCAGGTCCAGACCGGGGTGTGGGGAGTGGCAACGACAAACAAACAGCTTATTCACACCATCCCGGTCCCCCCCCACTACGCCCTCTTCTATCTCTCTCTTTCCACTCTTCTAGTTCTAGGCTGCCCCCCTCACCCCCCGGCTATTCTCCACCTCTGCCAAATCTAGGTTGTACAAATGCTGGAATACACAATTTTGCTTCACACTGCAAAACAGGAAAATTTTGTCCGGCCGTATTTTAAGGTTTGTCTCTGCACAATCAATGGCTCGATTTGGAACGACCAAACGGACGCACACCGTCCGTCGCGTCTATTTGTGCGTGTTTGCTCAACAAAAACATTCTGCTGTATTTCAGTTGAGTTAACTGAGGTCAGACGTCTTCTCGTAAAAAAAGCACTGAGGCTCCACTGTCAGGAGGTAGCAAACCTGCGACCCCAAGGCCCTGCAGCAGGGATCCGATGGCGCCATGTGCACCGGAGGCAGACATCTCAAAACACCGGCAAAGAATGTACAAGAAAACTATTCTTCTGCAACTTCTGAAGTTTGCAATCAGCCACCTCAAGCTGCTGTACCGATACGTGCCGCGGCTCTAACTTACATTCCCCCGGCAGTGTCGACAAAATACTACTCACATGACGCACATGCACACGCAGTGCGCTCTCTCTTGTCGAAACGTGCACACATGCAGAGTGTCCTGGGCCTGAATAGGGTTGTCAGCAGTGATTAAAACTCCTAATCCCGGAGAAATGATCACCTCCATGGTAGGAGTTTCATTAGGTCAAGTGTACGGGTCGCACTTTGTCAAGGCCCATGTAGGGGCATCACAAAGGGGTTATTGGGCTTATAAAAAAACGTGCAGCTCACATCTGTTTCACCTCGCACCCAGGCTTGTTGTTGACAAAATTAAAGTGAAATTAACTGTAGAGCTTCACATCCACGAGGTGTGATGCATGCTGCGTTTTCTAAAATAAGAGGAACGTAAACTGTCGGCGCAAAAATGTACAGAACAACGTGCCTCAGACATTGTTTCTTTCACACTGGAAAAAAAAAACACTTGAAACGTGGGCGCAATTATTTTGCAGCACTCATACGGGACACATCTGCTTTCTATTTTCTCTCTAATGGATAATGTGTTTAAGCTCTCGAGCTTAAAGCACAAACGTCTGCCTTTTCGCTTCTTCTTCTTCTTTTTTTTTTTTTTCAGTATTACATTTGCATTAACAAGCTTCCAGGAACTGTCAGCCGACACTGTCAACGAGAAGTTATTTTGTTTTTGCGGTTTTCCAGAATTACACCTCTGGCTACTCTCCTGCACTCGGTGGCAACACCGCGGTCCATTTTACTCCTGTGAGGACTGTTGGACTGTTCCCAGTTGATCCCTCAATGCGAGGCTAGAAACAAACCGTCCTGCCCAAAGAATTTCTTTCCTAGAAACAAGAGCTTACAAGAGTCACTCAGCCAAAACCGTTCTCATTGTTCGCCTCCTAGAAAAAGAGTCTTTAGAAGATGACGGATACGTTTTGCACAGATGCATTTTGTTTTACTAGTACTCCCTAGGAATAACAAATACTGTGCAGATAAAACGGTTTGAGTTGGACATCTCCCCCCTGCTTAGGGGGGGGGGGGACTTAAAGGATCAGGTTTTCTGACAGCTAAATGTGTTCTCCGGCTTCTGGAAAAGGTTATTCAGGTTCACACACGCAGGTCCTGATGTTCGGTGAGGAGGAAAAGGTACTGGGGCCGCCTTCCATTAGGGGCTTTTTTTTATGGTATTGCGTGTTTCTTTATGTGGAAAATAGAAGCTTCAATGCGCATACCTGTCAAGTCATATAGATAACATCATTGTCTTTGAAAAATTAACGCCATCGGCGATCTGCTGATCTTGTAGCAGTTTTACTTGACTGTAAACAAGCGCATGCGGCGTTGCGAAACACTCACAAGACTTGCAACACGGGCTTTTTGCTTCAGCGTCCTCGCTCATGAGCGAAGGCGGGTAGCTTTCATTTGTGTATGGAGGCTATTAATAACCAGGGCCAGACTGAGAACTTTATTAAGGTCCGTGCCTCGGACCAGCACCGAGTAAGCCTGCCACTTCACCTCCAGATATAAAACAGAGTGCTTTTAGTATGAAGGATCCTGCCTGTCCACCAATGAATTCCTTGATACTTGACTTAATATTTGAAGTTGTTTGGTTTTGCACGCCTGGCATCTTGCCGCTGGAGCCTAACGGCGACATTATCAAGCCACGCGCTTGTTCTGTGGACACTTTTGGCCTCGGCGGCTTTTAGAACTTGTATTATTCTGGTATTTTCAGCGTTCTCTTTCTGCTTCCTGCTTTGTTTTACATAATTATATGTCTCTTTGTTTCACACCTGCACCTCATTTCTAAATGAGACTTGCTCTGTCTTGCACGGAGCTTTTCCAAACGGACTTATAATCAGTTGTAGCAACGCGTGACACTGTGTAATGATACTGGCTGGGACTCTTTGTCACTCTGTGTCTTTGTTGTCCTCTCACACACACACACACAAACAAACAAACACACAAACACACAGATAGAGCTTCAGCAGTACCAGGCTGCGCTGAGCCCCTCGCTTTCTACCTCTGTCTGTCGTGCACACATGCATGCACAGCAGACAGTGCCCGTCTCTCATTCTGGTTTAGTATTAAAAAAGGCCTTTTGATTTTGTTCTTTTCACAGTGATGCCAACACAAACAGACACACACACACATATACCAGCTGATACCAGCAGATAACACTATCACACCAAACGGTCACGCGTAAACACACATTGTCATGGCCAAGTTCACATGCAAACATGGGGGAGCAAGGAAATGGGGGATGAGGGTTGGAGACGGTTTCAGGGACAGGCGGGCAGGTGCACATGTGTCTTCATGCACAGCTTTCTGGACAGCCCGGAAGCACGGGCAAAAGAAAAGGTACATTTGAAGAGAATAATAAATGAAAAATGGAAGTGGAATTGGAGTGCAAACAAGGCGATATTTTGAGACCTCAACAATTCCTTTTTGAATTTCTTTTTTTTTACAGTAAATGGATCTGACAAGCAGCCTGTTGTCTTGCTACACAAGAGGCTGCGAGCAGTCCAAATGTCGGAGTAAGAATGCAACACAAGAAATGTTTGGAGACATTTGCATTCCTACTATTCACGCCTGTGCCGCCTCTCACATGCAGCTCACACAAATTTCCGGTTGCAATCTGCAACCACACCGCCAGACGCCACCAGATCCTGCAGACTCTGCCTTTAAGGTTCTGATACAAAACACGAGAAATCAGGACTCCTGTGAGGGAAAATGGGTCAACAAGGGGTTCCTGCTTATTTTAAATGTGTGTCTGCCCTGGAGCCCACCTGCACCCATACAAATATATAACAAGAAGAGAACTGCAGAGCAGCACTTCATAGAGGTTGGGTGTTTAAGTTTAAACGATTCCGTCATGTAATGGAACATGCACAAAGACGCGTGGATGTACAAATAAATGCAACGATTTCACGGGAAATTTGATGGAACTACTTTTGTTACGCTCAAAATGACTCCAAATTTCAGCATCAATATTCTTCTACACATTAAATAAACACACACACACATGTTTTCTTGTGGCTTTAAGATAATTTCTTCCCAGGAAAACACAAGTTAGTTTTTCTGGGAAACAGGAAATTAGATTTTTAAAGCAGCAGGAAGAAAAAAAGCGTGCGGTCCCATCATTTGTTGTGATTCACAAAGACTCATTCTATCATAAAGTGCTTTTTATCCACCTGGTTAACGCCCATCAGCACTGAGATTCGTCTGTTTGCTTAAACCACTTATTGACCCACCTGCCAGTGTTATCTACCATTTCAAACATTCTGCACATTTATTCAAACCCCATTCAGGTGTATTGGAGGAAACAGCTGCTTACTTAAGAATGTAGCCTATTTTATTACCCTATTAAGTACATTTCAAGACTGTGATGGCAATCTCGCTTTAGACAATGTGGCTTTGTATGAGTGAAAAATGCAGTCTGCAGCCCCTACACACACACACGCACACACACTAGTGCAGACAGACACACACATGCACATTTTTTCCCTTAAAGACAAGGAGTGAGTTTTATCAGGGAAATCCCTAAACCATAAAGTATTCACAGAGACGCAGCATCAATATGATTTGGTGATAGTTTATTCACCACTCCCGCATGAGGGGATTTCAGGGGGTAAAAACAACAGAGAGCCTTCATCTGTGGATACTGTTTGTCCCACGGGCAAGCTATTATGTCAAACATTCATTAGAACAAGTTTAAAGCACGGGCAGAAAATGCCGCTTCCAACAGGACGAGATCAAAGTAAGTCATTTTCCTCTTTGCTTTTCTCTCTTTGCTTTAATCTCAATTTCTAATCGCATGTGTGCTTCTCCTCCCCTCCTCAGGCGTTCCCTTCTCATACAGTTACACTTGTTCAAACCAAGGTGTCATATTCAACCTGCTCCTCCCCTCGCAGGGAGAAAGACCTCATTTAAATCGGAATTATGGGTTTTCTCCTATTAGGGAGAAATATGGGACTGCAGAGCAAATAAGAACATGAGCGAGTGGAGAATGGAGTCGGATCAGGAGGAAAGTGTTAAACCTTCCCTCAGGAGTCTTTAGCGACACTATCTGGTGGAAGCATGTACTGCTGAGTGCTGTGGCCCCTGATCTCCCCGCTGCACAACGCCACTATAACAGCATATGTGCTATGTGAAGTCCAAAAAAAATGATTGAAGCAGCACTTTGCGTTGCTTCCTTTTGTCGAAAAAACACAAACGGCCTCTAAACACGCAGAGGCGCACAATGATCAAATCCTGCATCACAAACCACAAGCCTTCTTTCAAGACGCACACACGCCGAAGCGCCTGGAACGCCAAGAAGGGAAGTGACAGGTTCACTGTTGCAACATGAGATCCTCTGACACACAGAAACACCCGCTTACATAAGGGCAGCACACACACACACACACACACACACATGCTGAGTTACTGGCGGTCATAATTCAAGTGAATTAGTGGCCGCAGTGAAGTTGTCACATAAAGGAAGAAGGAAAAATACTCAGAAGTGAGATTAATACTGCGGTTCCCCTCGTCCGCTGAAGCGCCCTTGAGCAAGAGACCCGACTCGCTGCCTCATTAGTCGAAGGAAGTCGTCCCACTGTAAGAGGCTGTAAGATGTGGACGGAAGCAGAGGGAGAAAGATGCAATGAAACAAAGTTTCATTCGTGGTCTCCACAGCCGCTGGCGGTCTGATGCTTCTCCACCTTGTTTAAATTGTTTAACTGTTGTATGATCTCAGCGTGCGTGCGTGTGTGTGTGTGTGTGTGTGGTTTATTGACTTATTGACTTGATTCAGAGGTGGATCTGTTATGAGAGTTGATGTTGGATGTCTGTGACGTGCCCTCTGCGGCGTGGAAGTTGTGGGACACATGACCAGCGCAGATAAGGGAGACAAAGCGAGCAAAGAATAACATGTGTGTTTAAAAGATGTATGGCATGAAGGACAAGTTCTCCAACCTGCCGTGTCTTGTTCAAAAAGCCACATTCTCAGTGAGGCGGGTCAACGAAGGGTGACACTTTGTCTTGAGACAGAAGAGACGATCTGTCAGTTCTCTAACATGCGTCCACACACACACACACGCACACATATGTTAATTTGCATGTCAGGGAACCATGGAGTGTTTAATGCGCTGAGACAAGTTTCAACAGAGGCAAACAGATATCTGGAAACAGGTTATTTTGGTGCAAAAGGGGCGACCAAAGTCGGCACGATCGCCTGCTTGATATAGAAGAAAATGCACACACACACACACACACACACACACACACACACACACACACACACACACACACACACACACACACACACACACTTCCTCAACTGCCCCTCATTTGCATATCTCCCCTCTGCACATTATTGATCTTATTTTTGGATGTTCCTGTGTGCGTTTGTATGAGGGCTTCTGGACCCGAAGCAGACATTCCCTCCACGCGCACGTAGAAACCACGGTCACGCACTTCACACAAGCTCCTTCAGGAGATGCAAATGAGTGAACAGCATTTAGAACAGATCGGGTGATGTTGCTTCAAGGAAATGGTCGGCAGAATGCAAATCTGAATAGAGAAGGTTTCACTGTTATCAGCGAGGCTTTGGAGCAAACACATTACCAACGTAGACTTGTTTTTGAAAGTAACATTCATTTGTTCCGTTTCCTCGGCGCTTTCATGAGAAACACTGTGGTACCTCTGAGATAGAAAAAAAGGCTGATTGGCATCCTGTTTTGTGACTCGTTGCACAAACCATTGCACTGCTGGAATAAGCAGTTTCTAGCTTAGCATAAAGACAGAAAAATGCCGCCTTCGCATTATTGTCTTACGGCCTTCAGCAAAGTGAGGGTTTCAACGTAAGGAAACATTCATGCTGAGATCAAACTCCTGTAGGAAGATCTGAGAGATCCGGTAGAACTAATCAATGACCCAGTCCGCGTCCCCGCTGTCAGGTTAACAGTCGCAGGTATTAAAACACCCGTAGCGGTTCTTTATCATTCCAGAAGTGTTTGCTGATCGCGTAGCGGCAATAATAAGCAAATTATCTTGATAAGACGTGGTTTTACAGCCCGTCGGCCAGAGTTGATTTGATGGCGCATAGAAAGAACATTTGCCTGGAATATGTGACGTAGGACGCGTGAAGCATGTTTCTTAAGATGCAAGGTTTGATACAGTAGGACGCGAATGAGTCTCAGAATGGTTATTCTTTGTTGGTTTTATTCACTGACAGTGACGTCAGTGAGAGGATGTTATGCTCCAATCAGAGAACCCCTCTCTAGTGTGTTTTCATTTTCAAGGGCGTTGGTGTTAAACTGTTTGGACCCCCGCAGTCAAAAGTGCACGGGAAGTCCCGCAGAGAAAAATAAACAATAGTGTGAATATAGGGACTCCATCCTCCTATTTTAGGGTGTAGACGTACATGTAGGAGCAGGTTAAAACCATTATTCTGGTCTGATAATCGCCGCCACAAATATTAAGCTGCAGGTCAATATCAAGGTATGTAAAACTAATAAACAGAGAAAATGTTGGATTTCCAAACAGTTTGGGAGGATCCGATGTGCACTGACTTTAACTTTTACACACACAAAAAAAAGAACATAAAAACGCCGTATTATATAGTTCAGGTTATTCCCTCCTGCAGAAAACTGCAGTGATCCTTAATAAACTGAAGAATAACACATTCATATTAAGTCCAAACAAAATTTTCGGGATGTCAGACTCATTCTAACAGATACCTAATGACTATTGTGGGAATATCATGGATTTTTTTAAGGAGTCATGTGCTTGTCTGACAGTAAAAGTGATGATGAGGGCTGCAGAGAGAGAGAGAGAGAGCAAGTGAAGGCCCCACACAGACACACGCACACGGACACACACAGAGGGAGAGGCTGAATGGACACATGAGGGTCAATAAGCATCAATCACAAAAGGTTGACTATGGATGACTCAAACGTGACACTGCGGCTGCTGAGTGGAAACCCAGGATAGGGGATTCGAGTTTAACTCAAATGATGTTGAGGTAACCAGAATAAATCATAGTGCTTCCCGTTTGATCTTTCAACATAAAAGTATTGTTGTGAAACTAAAACGGCCCCTTGTCCAAAAAAGCCCAGTTGACTTTGACATGACTGTATCCATGAGTTTTATCATCTTTATATGCATAAATAGCGAAATCTATCTATTTACTACTTGCCGTTTCGTTTTTTTCAATTTGTCAATGTAGCAGAATAAGTAGACTTACACAAAAAGACTTAAACAAAAAAAGTGGTAACAAAGTATCTAAATAAAAATAAAAGCATACTTTTTTTTAAACACATACAACTCAATGTCTGAGAGCCCACAAATGTTGAGAAAAAACGGCGAGAGATATTACCTCTCCTTTTGTTGGTTGGACACAGCAGGGGAACAGCTGGATCTCTGTCGGATCAAACAGATGCACTGCGATCTCTGCTGTTCTCAATGAGATAATAATAACAACAGAGGACAAACAAGAGGTGTGGCACGAGTAAATAGCGTGAGAGCTGCTGAAGATTGTCCTTGGATCATGTGGCCTAAAAAGTGATTATGTATTGAACAGTTTAGTAGATTGAACACACTTGGGTGGATATAATGTGATAACATTATAGTCGCTTTCAGTGAGCGGAAAGTACATTTACTCACAGTACTGTACTATAATATGGGGTACTTGTACTTTAATCAAGTAATTCCATTTACTACTTCATTCTTTATTCCCTGCAGATCAGAGAACAATGTTGTAGGCTACTTTTGTACCACAAATTAATTCAAAATCTTTTCCTCCAGATTCAGATTAAAAAAATAAACGCTAATGAGGTTATTGCAGATAAAGAAAAAACTTGAATGATCCCTGAGTAAATCCATACACGAAAACCGTAAGCCGGCCTTTACCGACGGCAACATTAAAATATTTTTCCTTTCCAATAATATCATACACACTATTCCTAAAATAGGGCACTCTACATAATGAGTATATTATGTACCACACTTCCACTCGCCGTCCCTCGCACAGCTGTCGTGTGTACTTCAGACACAAAAACGTATCCGCGTTTTATTTTGAAAGAACGAACCCCCACCCCCTCTTCCTGTATCATCCGGGTTAGCGGCAGCGCGCTTGACGCGACACGTCCGCGTGAAGCGCCCTGCCGTCGCCTTGTCGAGTCATCGCCAGAGACGAGCAGAGAGCCGACGGAGCCGCGGTCCGATGGCTTGAAACACGGGGGGGGAGGAGGAAGAACCGTGGATCACAGCGCGGATTCAACTTGCACCGCAGAAGACAAGAAGAAGCGAAACGGCGGAGGACGAGGATAAAGCACCTTTGACTGAAACTCTTATATATATATATATTTTTTTTTGGGGGGTGGGGGGTGTGGCGGTTTTTTTGGTTGCAGTTGGCAGACCGGGACACGGACGACCCAGGAGAGACGGGCCGGAGTACCGGAGCCGCCGCGAACGAACCACCGAGCGAACTTGGCTCCTTTGCTCCCCCGGTGGGAGGTGTCGGTCTGTCGGCTGCAGCTCTCTGCACGTACCGCCCCCCCGCCACACGCTGCTGGGGACGTATTATTCTTTTAATTTAAAAGGATACGCTTGTTGCTAAGTTATGTTTTTGTAAATATTCACATTTCCCCAACACCCCCCCCAGCCCCCGTGGGGGGGTTCGGCAACCAACTGTGGCTTTAATGTGACGCACTAACACGGACCCTCCTCGGTTAACAGGCTTTTTAAATCAACTTCGCACCTCCGGTATCTACGGGTGCCAGTAACTGCGCGCGCCCATGTGAAAGGTAACGGTGCATTATTCCTTTTCCTAAACGTGTTTTTACTTTAATTGTTGTTTTTCCATCACACTGCCGTGCACCGATAGTGAGCGGTGGTCGCGCGCGTCTCGTCCCGCCTGTGGGCAAAGTTGGCTGCACGTCGCCGGGTTCAACAGGCAGCAGTGGAGCCCCGACTTCAGGACATGCGCGTGCTTTCTTCTTCTGTTTCTTCTTCTTCTTCTTCTTCTTCTTCTTCTTCTTCTTCTTCTTCTGTTTTTATGCACATGCAAGACTCTCGTGTTCACGCAAGTTTAAAGGAACCACGCATAATTAAAACGGCTTAAAATAATGGAATTAATAAATGCCCTGCGAGGGTTACGACTGGTATCAAATCATTTTTTTTATATTAACGATGCTGTCGATATGTTTGACACTCGCCTGCTACGTATGTTCTACCTATGCGTTATATATTTGGGAAGTACGTTTCTGCAAATACTGCATCATGCAGCACATCTGTGCTAATTCTGTTTACACGCTGAACCCTCCAGCATTATAATGTCGCACACTTTACCACGTGATGCATGTTTGATGTTCTACTTCCGTTGTGCTTTCCGGCGGCCCTTGTGTTAACGCTTTTTACCCTGTTTGGCAGAGAAAGTAACACATATAACAACACCCCCTATCTGCTGTCGCCGTTACAAACAAACACAAATGGAACAAAAAAACAAAAAACACGTGTCATAGCCAAAATAACTAATATGCAGATGTTTCTGCAGATTTCTGACATCACACGTCGGTGCCCCCTGAGATAACAGAGCAGAAGCCCCCCAGGGTTTGTGACATAAGGCAAATGGCACCGCTCGCTAAGCGCGTCTCTTCTCAATTAGTTTATCCTGTGATGCAACATGGCAGTGCTCTGTAACTGAGGGCCCCCCGTACCCCGCACACCCCCCCTCTTATGCTAAGCTGCTGAGTTGCCACAGTGTAGGTAGCCTCACCTCGGGGTCGCCCCCGTCGGTGGTGACTTGGGGCTAAATTTGGATCGTCGAGCAATTAGGCGCCTCACTCTGCTGCATCACTCCACAGGGTTGACTACTCTGGTGGGGGTGGGAGGGGGGGGGGGTTATGTGATGCAGATCTCTTTCTTGTTAAACAAGCCCGGAGTTGGAGATTAAAGATTGTGCCTCAGCCCAGGTGAAAACAGTCACAGATGAATCCCAAACAAGGAGTTGTTTTAACTGAATTATCCGGCTTACCCATGTTTGGAACAGTGGGCTGCTCGGCCTTCACGGGGATGCTCACGTTTCGCTTTGGAAGCATCCGAACGAGGGTTGGACCTCTGCTTCCCGTTCGGAGGAGCTGACAGATTTGGGATCTGCTCCTAAACTCGTTGACAGATTTTTTTATGTCTCCATCGCTCATATGGCTGAACGCCTGCCAAATGGCACTAAAACGTCACGGCATCTGGCAGCAGCCACTTTGGCCTTTTCATTTTAAAATATACTTCTATCTCACAGCTCTTTTGCTTCTCTCTCTTCTCTCCAGGGACAAAGGGCCAAAGCGGATCAAGCCGGGCCGGGCCGTGCTAGGCCAGGCCTACCCGACCCCCTCGTCTCGCCTCTATCGGGTTGGATTCCGACGGTATTTTTTGGGTGGCCGAGCCAGTCTGCCGTATCTCCTTCCATGTCGTGGATGTCCCGCCCTGGATGTTGGCACCAAGATGGATTCGGGTGTTAATTTGACGGTTGTCACCTCGTCCCAGCGCTTGCGTCCCCGCTCCTTTGACTGGCTTTTGTCCCTTCCCTCCCCGGTCTCGGAGCGAAAGCTCCTCTCGCTCTCTCGGGGCCTCCCCGGGCCCTGCGCACAAGGCCCTTGTAGGAGCTGTAGGCTGTCTTGTTAAAAACGATTGACGTTGCAAAGAGGAAGCAGAGTCCCCCCCGGCCATTTTTGTTTTCCTTTACCCTGAGTTCCCTCGCAGGTTTGAGAGCTTTTCGTCTCAAGCAGAAGCTTGCCGGTAGAGGTTTGTGCTGCGCGCACAGGTCGGTCTGTTCAGTCGCAACAAAAGAAGAAGAAATCCTTTCCTAAACATGTCTGGAAGCAATAGCGACAGCAAAGCGGGGTCATTCCCCCCTCCTCCTCCCTCCGCCTCCCCCTGTCCATCACCCCAGACCCCCCATAAGAATGTGAACGGCTCCTCCAGTTCGGACTTGCTGGAGGTGGAGAAGCTCGGCGTGCAACCCGAGGTCCAGCGGCGGCGCCACACGATGGACCGGGACTCCCGGATCGCCGAGCACCGCTTCTTCCGCCGGAGTGTCATCTGCGACTCCAACGCCACGGCTCTGGACCTGCCCAGCAAAGCCGCCGTGATGCTCACCTCACCGCCGGCCTTCTTCGCCCTGCAGGGTGACTTTTCCGGGTTGCTGGACGCCGAGGCCCAGCGCGGTCTCAACCTGCTGGGCCTGGCCCTTCAGCCCGGGCTGGGCGGGCCGGTTGCCGAGGGCCGCGTGGCGAATGCCGAGGAGGATTTGGACGAGGGAGGCATAACGTTCTCCGTTCCCTCCGTCCAAGGACTTGCGGCAGACGGAGCAGCGGCGCGGCCCGACCCGGCGGTGTCGGACGGCACCGACCTAACGGCCGGCGAACCGTCCAAGGCCGTGCCGCAGGACCCGCAGCAGCAGCAGCAGGCGCCGCAGCCCGGGAAGGAGGCAGAAGAGGCAAAGGAGAAGGAAACGGAGGAGGAGGAGGAGGAGAAGGAGCAGGCGAAAATCCGGGCGGAGCAGAGGGAGGCGGAGAAACGAGTGCAGGAGGATATAGAGGAGGTGGAGACGAAGGCGGTGGGGACTTCGCCCGACGGGCGCTTTCTGAAGTTTGACATTGAGATCGGGAGAGGGTCGTTTAAGACGGTCTACAAAGGACTGGATACGGAGACCACTGTGGAGGTGGCGTGGTGCGAGCTACAGGTGAGTCCAGACCCAGAAACTCTCCCCTCTTCTTCTTCTCCGTCTTCTTTTCTCTGTTTATCTGGATTCGACTTTATTTAAATGTAAAGTAAATCATTCATATAAAGCAGCTAAAAAAAACAAAGCAGTCGTCTCTCTGCGACTCAAACCAGACTGGTTGCACTGGGCGGCTCCAAGTCACCTCGCCGGGTACATGAGCGCCAACAAGAGCATCCTGCACAGACCGTGTGAAATGCGAGACAGGACGACCCAGTTCACCACAGGATGCGGCTTCTGCATTATGGTGCACTGATGCAACTTCTGCTGTGCGTGTGCGCGTGTGTGTGTGTGTGTGTGTGTGTCAGAAAGATGGATAAGTGGTTTGGAATCTTCTTATGAATTGGAAGGCTGATTCAACTTAAACTACGGTAAACATCATTTGAAAAAAAACGTAGATGATTGATCGGAACAGGCGAAAAGTCCCAATGAGGCCGGCCTGTGCGCGATCGACTGCTACCACGTGTTTCGAGTCGCCGTGCGCGTCTCCGTCACAAGACGCACCTCGAGTCGTCCTCGATCTCAGGAGCTAAAATCGGCCTCGCCTGACGCCCGGCGTCTAGGAAACGCCGGTTCTGTTTATCAGGAAAACAAACGCTGAGAAACACATGCCTCTTTCTTCTCCTCTCTGTCTCTTGTTTGTCAAGAAGGGGGGAAGAGGTGGTTTATCACACCGGTAACATCATCATCGTCGAATCGTCCAAATATAAAGTCTGTCTGTCTCAAAGGTGACTGAGCAACTGCTGACATGTTGCAGAGCGGTGGGAGTAAAGTTACACACATGCACGCACACGGACACACACAGAGAATCAGGCACACACACACACACACACAGAATCAGGCACACACGCGCATGCGCTACAGCCAATCACACTCGCTCTCTGGGTGGGCACGGGAACCAGAGATCTGTGGGAGTCTCACAGATCTGGAACTTTTCTTCGGTGTGTGTGTGTGTGTGTGTGTGTGTGTGTGTGTGTTTCAGAGATAGTTGTGAGGTGTGGCATCTTTACATTCTTCGGCATCTGATCCAAAGCAGGTTAACTTCTGCTATCCAGAGATGGATGTAAACAGAGGAGGAGGAGGAGGGAGACGAGGCTGACAGTTTGCGTAAGCTTGACCGAAGAGCTGGTTTGATGAAGACGAGGCGAGCGGGAAAGAGAGGGAAGGTCACTCGGCTTATCTGTAGACGCTCTGTTCGACTGCGCGGTGATGGATGGGAAAGAAGAGGCGGACGCCGTTCCCTCGGAACGAGAGATAAAAGAGAAGGCCTCCGTTACCAACCCGTAAATACCTGTTGACCTCGCCGAATTCCGTTCCCTATTTCGTAGTTGTCGAGGGCCGTCAATCAGGTGGGGAACTCGTGGTAAAGTTAAGAGAGTCGAGCGCATGAGGAGGGTAAAAAGGAGAAGTAGGGCGGGAAAGGAACGAGATGAAGTTCTATAAGAAGGCAGGGATGTCGGATGGAGGGAGGAGGGGTAAAGGTCAAAGTTCAGCCCCCCCCCCTGGTGTCTGAGGCGATCAGTGGGAGCCCGTCCAGCGCTCAACTGTGGTAGAGGGGGGGTAGAGCGGGACGGATGAGGGGTGAAAAGTTGGATTAGATGGAATACGTTTAAAAAAAAAATTAAGAGAATTTCATATTTATTTATTTTTAAACTTCTGGTAACCGGTGGTCTAAGGAGGAGATTGAGAGGAGGGGGACGGAGTCGTCGAGGAAACACCGGGAGCTGAGAGGTGAAGGAAAAAGGGAGGCGGTCACGTGAGGAGTTCAGTGAGAGAATGGAGAAAAGGGAAACACGGCCAGGAGGGAGGAAGGGAGTGAAAAAAGCAAAGAGTAAAGACAAAGGAAATGAAAAAGGGGGGAGGGAGAGGAGGAGAGAAGAACTGAGGACGAAACGAAGAGGGGTGTGTGTGTGTGTGTGTGTGTGTGTGTGTGTGTGTGTGTGTGTGACCTTAGGCCCTCAGCTGTGTTGGCACTCAAAGACCTTGAAATTTCTCTCTGAACTGCAACACAAGGCGGATTAGCCCCCCCCACAACCCCCCCGCCACTCTCTCACACACAGATACACGTTTGGGACTTCAAGACTGTCCTCCTTCAAACGGCCCCTTGAGAGGGAAACTGGGCATTTTTCACCAATTTCAGTCTTCAAGTCTTTGTAAATTAATCCATTTTGTTTTATTTTACAATTTGCTAATTTCTTTTTTAGTAATGAGATATTCTATTGCTGGCCCGTGGCTCGGCGCTCTCCTGTCGGACAAATTCAATCCAGCGGCAATTTGCGTACAGTGTTGACCCATTTTAAGCCGCTGCTGGCCTGCATCCCGTCCATTAGTTGGTAAAAGGCCAGAAGGAGGGTAAAAAGCCCCAAAATGAGGGCGAGCGGCAGCAGCAGGAGGAAGGAAGAGGAGACGGAGATGCTCGTCGAGAGTGTTCGTCAGGTATTTAAAAAGAAGTTTCACCGAACAATAGAGTCTCTGTTCCACTTTAATCTCAAATTACAGATGCAGATTGAGAGGCTTTGCCTTAACAAGCGAGCACCTTTATACCTGTTTTATTACATACTGAATAAAATTACGTATCTCCCTCCCCCCCTCCCCCGTAACTGTATTCAACATATTAAACCTTCCTGAAGCCCGGTTTCCAGACCCGGGAAAGGCAGACTAGTTAGAGAGATGAAACATTGCATCCCGTAGTTTACTGAAGGATGAATATCCCCGGATTACTCGCTTCGACTTTCCCCGAGGTTCACATTTCTAAAGCGGCACAACGCAGCTGTGTCGAAGCAGAGGCCGCCTCTCAGTGCTGATTGAGTCTGTGTGATGTAGCATCAGCCACCCGCCCCCCCCCCCCCCCCCCCCCGAAAAAAACACCCCCCCACACCCGCAGAGAACCCGTTGTGGGAAGAAAAATATTGCGGGGAAAGTTTTTCAAGCGCGGGCTTAAAAAAAGTCTTTTTTAAAAAATAAATAATTTTTTTTTGTTCTTTATTGCCCCCCCGAATAAATTCTTATAATAAGAGGTGCGAAAATTGCCGAGCACATGTAAACGTACGTCTGCACAGGGGGGAGGGGAGAGAGGGGGGTGTGCGTGCTGCAGCAAGCTTTGGGGATTGTTAACTTATTCATCTGGCGGAGCCTCGCTGCAGATGAGCTCACGTGTTTAATAATAGAAAAGCCCAAGTGCAAATGTTTGTTTTGTTAAACACAGAAGTTTTTTGTTTGTTTGTTTGAGGACCACCTTAAAACGATCGTGCACAGTCGGAAGGAGTCCGTTCTCCGTCTCAGCCAAGATGGACAATCACCCACCAACGACACGGGCGTGCGGGTCGGCTGCCGCTATCGCCGCGGTAACGTCACCCCGCGAAGAAGTTCCTCTCCAGCTGTTCCGCGGGCTAATGTTGCATCTCCGGGCCGCGGGGATCCGGTCGTCTCGAGGCCAAACGAGTTGGTTTCCTGTCATGCAAACCGCTGGGAGGAAGTCCGCCGCGGATGTGTCAATTGATTCGCTGCGTCGAGTCCCTCGTCCTCTGTGAGACCCCGTCGGCCTTTTGCCTTCGCCTTTGTCCCGCCACGTTTCAGACTCCCGTTCGACCTCGCTCCCCCTGTGTCTCTGTCACGTGTCAGTAACCAGCTCGGAGAGGGAAGGGGGGAGGACGGGGGGGAGAGAAGCCGTCACTTCCTCATATGCAAGCTGTCCCTGTGCTTCCTTCCGTGTAGTGTGTGTGTGTGTGTGTGTGTGTGTGTGTTCGTGTGTGTGTGTGTGTGAGAGACAGAGTTTCCCGTAATGTTAACCAGTAAGGTCAGGCCACCCTGCCTCTTTAAGACCTTCTTTAGCATCGATTGCAGCGCAAGGCCGAGGTGTCACGTGACCCGGGTGCCCTTTTCGGGTCGTGCTGGCAGGGTTCGGGCCTTCAGATAGAAGCAGGCGTAAAAGTGTTTATAAAGTGGCAGACAGTCGGTCCGCAGTCAATCAAATACAGTTACAAATGCGACGTGTGGGTCTGTACTGGTGAGTAGCGTTTTATCACAAGCACGCAGGCACACAAATCTCACTTGACAGGTTTCAGGCTTAGTTATGTGTGACTGCGTGTGTGTTCAAGGACTGACATTTCTCCCTCCCACTCTCTGTATTTATTTAGTAGAAAGAGGAGCAAGTGTAATCCTGAACCCACACTTTTGAGTGTGTGTGTGTTTGTGTCAGAGAGCTGATTAAGTGTTTTGGCACCTTGAATAAAGTCCTCCAGCGAATGAAAAGCGCTGAGTGAGAGACGCTTTAGAAGCTGCTGAGGGTGTGTGTTGGAGGTTAATCATACTGAATATTAATGTACATGTACGTGTGTGTTGATAAACACGTGTACTTTATGATAATTGCTGTGTGTCATAATTGGAAAAGGGGTGTGTGTTGACTCATGGAAAGGGCTCTGTGTGCTCACAGCTGGTGTGTGTGTGCGTCGGTGCGACATGATGAAATGCCTCACACTCTTTTTCTTTCCTCATCCCGCCTCATCTGCCCTTTAAATCAGATTCCCTCGCCCCTCTCGTTATCTCCTCCATCTATTCCTTCTTTATTTTCCCTCCCTCGTCCGCCTTAATCCCTACTTCTCCTTTGCATCGCATCAATCTCCTTCCCTCCTTCAATTTCAAACGACGAGTGATGATTATTTTCACAGCTGCTTGCTCATTCTCTCCATGATTGATCTGTTGGTGATCCCCACTTTGGAGGCATCTCTGATCTGCTTTATGCTAAGTTGATGAGGCGCAGAAATACTACACATGTATATTTGAGAACAGGACCTGTACATCAGACGACACTAGATTGTACTCAAGGAAGCCTTGAAACTAATTTGGCTATAACACACACGCACGCTCGCGTGTGCCTGATTAGCAAAAAACAAAAAAAAAAAATGGTTATTGCGTTTTTCCTTTTCGCCCAGAAAGCGTAAAACAATACTGACATTGTGAAAATA